GTTGGGGCACCTGGCTAGGGTGCCTGGTTGGGGCACCTGGCTAGGGTGCCTGGTTGGGGCACCTGGCTAAGGTGCATGGTGGCACCTGGCTAGGGTGCCTGGTTGTGGCACCTGGCTAGGGTGGTGTGGTGCCTGACTAGGGTGCCTAGTTGTGGCACCTGGCTAGGGTGGTGTGGTGGTGCCTGACTAGGGTGCCTAGTTGTGGCACCTGGCTAGGGTGGTGTGGTGGTGCCTGGTTGTGGCACCTGGCTAGGGTGGTGTGGTGGTGCCTGGTTGGGACACCTGGCTAGGGTGCCTGGTTGGGGCACCTGGCTAGGGTGGCTGGTTGGGGCACCTGGCTAGGGTGCCTGATTTTGGGGCACCTGGCTAGGGTGCCTGATTTTGGGGCACCTGGCTAGGGTGCCTGGTTGGGGCACCTGGCTAGGGTGCCTGATTTTGGGGCACCTGGCTAGGGTGCCTGATTTTGGGGCACCTGGCTAGGGTGCCTGATTTTGGGGCACCTGGCTAGGGTGCCTGATTTTGGGGCACCTGGCTAGGGTGCCTGATTTTGGGGCACCTGGCTAGGGTGCCTGATTTTGGGGCACCTGGCTAGGGTGCCTGATTTTGGGGCACCTGGCTAGGGTGCCTGATTTTGGGGCACCTGGCTAGGGTGCCTGATTTTGGGGCACCTGGCTAGGGTGCCTGATTTTGGGGCACCTGGCTAGGGTGCCTGATTTTGGGGCACCTGGCTAGGGTGCCTGATTTTGGGGCACCTGGCTAGGGTGCCTGATTTTGGGGCACCTGGCTAGGGTGCCTGATTTTGGGGCACCTGGCTAGGGTGCCTGATTTTGGGGCACATGGCTAGGGTGCCTGATTTTGGGGCACCTGGCTAGGGTGGCTGCAATGCAAATAACATGCCCAAAATTTTGAAAACTGCTTTTACAAACTGGTAAAATTTTATAAGATGCCAAAATCTTTTAAGCCCTTGAAGTTTTTTTTATTATATATACTCACCCCACCCCCCCCCCCCTGCCTCCATTTTCCTCCCATTGCATTTGTGTTTAGTTAAATTGTTAGTTATCCTGCTGAAGGTGCTTGAAGTTTAGCCCAAAGAGAGACGACCAGAAGTGATAGCAGGGGTGACACACTGAAACTCGTTCCCTGAAACATGGGTGTATCGGAACAAGACAGTAAGCATCCCATCCATCCAGGGAACACTAGTAAGTCCCACACTAGCAAGCCTAACGATGTGAACCTCCATGATTTTTAAGTGATCTGTTTTGAAAGGAAAGAGAAGGCATATTTTTAACCAGGATGTCATCTTGCACCCAGACCTGGCTCCCTTCCCATGTGATGGCTGCTGTAACCCAGAACTGTGAGGGACAAGGTAGCTGAGAGCCAGCTCTCAGGCTCACTGTAAGCAGGTGTTGGTCAGTAACAGGTGGAGATCCCACATTCACGGGAGTGAAGAGTGTCTTTGTGAAATCCTTGGTGCAAACAGTTGAAAACATCAGAGGTCCATGGTTGTTCAACATCCTTCCAGCAAGCATAAAAGATATTGCCAGAACAACGATGGACATCTTCAAGAGAAAACTAAATAGTTTTCTTCAAGAAGTGCCGGACCAACCGGGCTGTGGTGGATATGTGAGCCTGCGAGCCGCTCCAAGCAACAGCCTGGTTGACCAAACTCTCACAAGTTGAGCCTGACCTCAGACCAGGCTTGGGGAGTAGAACAACTCCCAGAACCCCGTCAAGCAGGTAAGACCTCCAATAAAGAATGAACTGTTTTGAGAAGGAAGGAATGCCAGTTGAAGGCAGTGCACACGTTTCCAGTGGTGGATATGAGAAGACCCAGGAATGTAAATTAAGTGTTGATCCTGTGTTGTTACAATGTCCAAATCTGGAGCATTTACCAGTGTCAAGTTGGAGAGGGAGGGTAAAATAATGTATACTGCACACGGAAAACAGGGCTGCTGGAGAGGCTTAAACATAAAGAAGAATCTATAGGTCAGAGAGATTTAGCTAGCAAGGAGATTGACAACAGAAGAGTTCAGATTTGTGTCTATTTGGCATGGAAAAACCCAGGTACCTAGTTACTGTTAACAGTGGCATTAGGAGAAAGAAAACATATTCGTTTGCCTTGTTCGGGTAGAAGGTAGACACAGTAGTCGCTTCTGTATATATTTATTGACTGAGATAGCAAGGTATATATCTGCCTAGCCGAGGTCCTTCTACTCTGAGTCTGTGAGGATAACTGAGGCTGCTGGGAGCATGGCTGATGCTCCTCTGTCTGGCATGACGTCAGAGGCCTACTTGCCTGCGATTGGTTACATTTCAACTGACAGAATTTGAGTATAACAAACATATCCATCCATTTCTCTCCCGCTTTGGAATCAAACCTGGGGTACTAGGCGAGTTGAATGAATCCAACTCTGCTTCCAGGAGTTACAAGAGACTGGATGTATTAATATAAAGCGTGTGCTGCCCCTTTTCCCAAAACTTAAGCATCCTCTCATTATAATACTTTGAAAAATGTAAGGCATTTTATAGTCTCTGCTAAGATGTGGGGTTTGGAAAACACATGTGCCAGTGGTTAAGCAGATAACCATTGTTTCACTCATTGGTGTGTCAAATTATGCAGAGTTTACCTAGGAAGAGTTGAATGTTTCAAAATTGTTAATGATCATCCATATGTGTCCCACCTTTTGGGTTAGAGATGACAGTTTCCACCACCAGGGGCTCTCACATGCCAACAAGGAACACTGGAGAAAACATCACCAGAGTCAGGTTTACCAAAACTACTCAGTAGCAGGGCCTGGAGAGGCAGTGTCCAAGTGGAATGGATTGCAGTAAATTTAGCATAGGCAGGAAGCTTATGATGCTGACTAGTCACGAATGAATCCACCTGGTGGTGTAATTACCCAAGTGTAGTTACAGGATGAGAGCTATGTTTGTGGTGTCCCATCTTCCCAGCACATTTGTCATATAATGCTTTGAAATTACTGATGGTTTTGGCCTCCACCACCACCTCGCCTAACTTGTTCCAATTGTCTATCACTCTGTTTGTGAAAGAATGTTTTTTTATATTTCTCCAGCAGCTGTGTTTCATTAGTTTAAATCTATGACTTTACTTACTTGGTTGTGCTTGGGTACAAGTGCCTAATTTGTTGTCATTGGGCAAACTACAGTTTTTCATTGTTCCATCTTTTCTCTTTAATCAAAGTACAGTATGTAGTTTTTGTTTTACCTGTGCTTTCTGGGCACTTTTACTTGGTTTGGAGCAATTGTGGGTCACCATGGTGTTCAAAAGGCTTATGAAATTCAGAGGCCTCCTAGGCCTCTGGGTGTGTTTAGTATGGAAGCAAATGAACTGGGAAGCTGTTGAGGGCCATCCCAGAAAATATCTTGATACTATGCTCACCATTAATCAGTCCAGGACAAAAATGATTTGACTGAGCAGTGTAGGCAGGTGGATGGTAACAACCACTGTCTACAGATGCTGCCAGAGTTTGGATCTGATACTATATATGGGCAAGCAGGCTACGTGGTGATGTCCATACCACTGCAGACATTGGTTTGAAGGTTCAGAGGATGGTGTTGATTGCATGTTTGCAGCTCAGAGGTTCAGAACTCTGGGATTCCTTTTACAGGTACTTGAGGTTTACTTTTGCTTCATTTCTTGGTAGGTCCATCCATATACAATACTATACTGTATACAGTATGCAGAAGTCGTGAATATTACTTCTGCCTTAAATACTTCTTTTTAAAACTTTCCATTTATTTCTTCATATCCTTTATTCTATTAATTTTATTTTTCTCATAACATGTGTAAGAAGTTAACAATTTTTTTTATTACAGATTAGGTTCAAATACACACTTTTTCTGTTGTGAATGTCATGTTTACATAAAATACCATAAACATTTGCAACAAAATGTGTACACATTACTAATTAAATAAAAAAAAAGAATAGTTATGCACTGATTTTATCTTTTCCAATAGTTTCATGTAATTCCTGCTCATTGAATACTCTTAACAAGCTGTTGTCATTACAATAAAACTACAATAATTCTAACAAAGTTATTATGTCTGCAATCTTTACAGATGAAAAAAATAATTGGATTTACACCAGCCCTCCTTCAAGTAGTGATGATGGGAGAATTAGATATGCCTGTACGTCAAGCAGGAGTAATTTACTTAAAAAATATGGTGGCACAATACTGGAAGGATGCAGAGTATGAGTGTGGTGAACCCAAACCTTTTCATATACATGAACAAGATCGTGCCATGATCCGGGATGCCATAGTAGATGCAGTTGTCCATGCTCCAGACTTGGTGAGGTAAGGCTTTTTGCTTGTGGGAAAATACACAACAATGAATTAATTACTGAATATCTTTTAATGATAAATATTATGAAGGATTGTTTACAAATGGGATTCCAAAGTATCTGCTTGTTAATTTGTGTACAATCTAATGACCAAAAAAATACAGTGATGCTTGATGAAGGAATGTTTTTCTTAGGATTCTTGTCTTGGAAACTTTTGGACCAATACTTTGATTTTCACCTGTTAGTCTCCTGTGCATTGCCTAAACTCAGTTTGCTGGGCCCTTCCGGTATTTCTGTTTTTCTATTCTGGTTTCTCTGATTGCCTTATTTACTGTTGTTGCCATGCTTGTCTTATGATGTCACTGATTTCCACGTTTGTTTCTGCCAGTAAATAAGTGTTTTGTTAGAATTTTTTTTCTTTGTAATGATGTCACTCAAATGGGGAAAAGAGATAATGTACAGTACAGTTGTTATTTTAGGAATAATGATGACTTGCAACAGGGTGAAATAGTTTTGTTGCAAACTATGACACAATAACAGGGCTGGAGATTTGACCAAATCACACATCAGGAGATGAAGAAACAACGTTTCGTCTTTTCAGGTCCAGGACACACCAAAATGTCGTTGTTTCTTCTTCTGATGTGGGGTTTGGTCATCATAATTTTCTTAATTTTGTACATTCTGTGTACATGTTTATTCCTGATAATCGCTATCCACGCCTCGCAGCTCGTGAACCCGTGGGTGTGTTCGAATCCACTTTCTGGTGATCTCGGTAATGGCAACCAAGTAAGCATTGGTCTCAAAATGTTGCAAGGTGTACTGAATGGTCTAGATTCTTGGTGCAAGGAAGTTTAATTTTACCAATAGGTTTTAATTTGGCATTTCTTCTGGATATGAGATGTGAAATGGAATTTGGATTAGTCATTGTACAAGGTATTTAGGCCTGGTCAGAGGTCAGGCCATGGAGACACAGATCCTAGCAATCGTCAACAGGTAGGCAAGAGGTAGGTGGTGGTTGGAGCATTGAAATGACTCTGAACTGGCCCTTGATTGTCCTCATTGCCACTGTTTCATGCTTGGATGTTTTGAGGACTTATGTGAGCTATTCACTCTAAGCCTTGTATTGGTGACTTCTTGTGGTGACTTGGTATTTTGGAAAGTTCTTATTTGATGCAAAGGTTGCCTAGAGCCTGGCATGTGAGCAGTTCCTGGATTGACTTTGGCTTCTGGCTTGTAGACAACAAAGGGTCTGCTAAAAAAGCATTTATAATTTATTATTGCCCTATTTTTATCATGTTTAAATATGCTACACATGTAAATACATACATAAGGCATGTGTATATAGTGTAATAACAGCACGAACAGTATGGTGGGAGGAGGAATGTTGGCGAGTGAGGCAGCGTCGTTTGTTGACTGGTGTGTTGGTGGCCACTATGCTGTTTTGATGCACCATACCAGCTTAATGGTTCGTTATTGTGAACAAAACATGCAGATACTTTTATATAACGTGTGTATATACTGTAGTGTAAAAACGGCAAAAATATTTTTGTATTGTTTAATGACCATAATTCAATCACTAATATGCACACCATACTTTTGAGTATAGCAATGGTTCACACACTTTATTATATAAATTTATTACACTACACATTATTGAATAATAATACTACAAAAAAATCAGACATTGAAATATTTAGGTAATACAGTAATATCTTTGTGGCAATTCCCATCTGATGACTCAGGTGGAGGAGACTGGCCCTGGACGTGTACTGTGTCAGCTCCACAATCTTGCCAGACTTCCTTGCCCTATTGCGGCCAAAATATGTCGCCTACGATTTTTGTTATTATTTATCCCGTGATCAGGGAACACATTTTAACAATCTTAGTTTTAAGATTGTTAATTTTGTTTTGTTTAAGATTTTTTTCCCTTCTATGGAGAAAACTATGTTTTTCTTGAACACAGCGGTGTTGTCGGCTATTATTATCAGCGCCCAGAGATTAAACTAATAATTGGTTATGTTACAGAGTGCAGCTGGCTGTGTGTACATATCAGATGGTGAAACACGACTTCCCAGGAAGATGGACAACTATTGTTGATAAAATAAGTATATACCTCCAGAATCCAGACACAAGTCTCTGGAATGGCAGTCTTCTGTGTCTTTATCAACTTGTAAAAAATTTTGAGTGAGTGTAAATTTAGTTTAGTACATATTCCAGTTAATTTAGAGAGTGAGATTGTTGTGGTTCCAAGATGTTTTAGTAGTTATGGGCAATTAGAATGATGTGGTGGATGCACATGGCATTCCAGTATGAAGTAAGGGCTGCACACTAAATGTGCTGTAATAAAAAGTTATCTACTAATACATTTGTTAAGAATAAGAATGTACATAAGTGCTCAAGATCTAGGTTGAGCTTGGCTTTGTAGATGTGTGTGTGTTCCTTAAGACAGGATTAATAACTAAGACAGTGTGCAGTGGGGGGGGGGGTTGTTGTTGCAAGATAATGAAATGGTAATAAATATCAGTTATAAACATGCAGAAAAAAGCATTAAAATATGTTTTGCAGAAAAATGTTAAAATATATATTCAAATATATTTGATATAAAGTAGGTAAGAGAAATATATGAAACCTGTCTGATCAGATATTAGTGGTATACAATGACATTGTATGGTAAATTTGAAAGTCTTAAGTTCAATTTGCTAGTCTCTGCATGTGACTAACTAAATGATTGTTGCCATGTGGGAGGTATTCAAGAAATATTTTATTAGAATTTTTTTTTTTTTTTATATAGCTCAGTTTGACATTTTGAATGAAAGGAAATGCTTATAGGACAAAGTTAGTGCCAAGAACAGTGTAGGATTAAGACAGAATTCTGTGAATGTAAACTGAATGAGAGAAGAGACAAAGTATATATGGATGGCAAGAGTTAGAGAAAAACTAAAAATGTGAGAATGCAGAGCATGTTATGTAAGATTTCTTAATCTAGACTTTAAGATTGTGACAATGGTAGAGAACATGTTGGGCATTATTTATCTTAGTATGGTACCAAAGTTCCCTAACTTCAGACACTGCACAATTAAAATATTAAAAAAAAAATTTTTTTGTTTTTTGGCGAATGAATACTATTTCAAATTGAAAAGTATGCTGCCTTGATCATTTTTAAATCAACTAAATTCTGACTGATATCAGTTCCTGAAATTTGTAGTTACATGTTGAATATTTCTTGTATTCAGAAAAATAGTAAATATGGATGAATGAATGATACAAGTGTTCTCGAACTCGGTATTTAGAATAAATACTTTTGGGAGCGATAGTGCGATGTGTTCCAAAAATCCTTTATATAATGATGTATACCATTTGTATCACTATTAATACAGTAGTAGCTTGATATCAACAATGGACATTCTTAGGGATTTGCATGCAAATCTCAATTTCCTTAAATTTACAGACAATAGGATGGTGCTGGATTCACTCTGGGTGAACCAGAATGTCATGTGATGGTAAGCAGTCAACACGAGTTAGAAATGGGATAAGTGGGATTCGAGTTATTTATAAGGCAGTCTCATAAGCAACAATGTTCTTTCAGCATTCTCCTAAGTTTAAGTTATTTGATTAAAGCCAAAGGTTGGTAGCAAATAGAACAGTTTAGAAATATTACTAATACCACTACCACATTATGCTCATGTCTAATGTTTTAGTCAAATTAGTTTGAATTTGCCGAGGCCTTTATTTTTGGTTGATAATCTTTTCTGAAGCAGTTATGTATACTGTTTTAGAGACAAAATCAACCTAGAGCAAATCAGGAACACAGTACTACTAGGACCTGTACCTGGGTAGTTTCCAAGACCCTGATACAAAATAAGGAAAACAAAAAATTAGTGCAATGCATTTCATAGCTTAGATTTTAATCATGCAGTTTGGTTTTCCTAGATACAAAAAGAAGGAAGATAGAGGTCCACTGCACGAGGCAATGAGAATGCTACTTCCAATGTGTTATGAGAGGATGGTACACCTACTGCCAGACCCATCCGAGCATTCCACACTACTACAAAAACTCGTCCTAAAGATATTTTATGCTCTAACACAGGTAATTGTCATCAAATTGATTTTGGTTAGAAATGATTAATGTTTTCTATTTAACACTTTCATATTGATGTCTAAAATTATTATTCTTAGGTAGTCTGTAGCTACATATATTGGGAGCTTTTCATAATGTGGGGATTTCCATGTTGTGCCTTGCTCCATATTTTGAAAATGGCAATTTTGCTAAAATAGAAAATTTAACTAGTACTTAGTTAAACACATTACAAAGTCAAATAAATATTTGTAAATATGACATGTTAATGGCACTACCCTGTAATTTGTTTCAACTCTTGTATGTATTATTTTTGGTCAAAGCATTAGGGGGTTTTCTACTTGTTAGCAAAATATCTGTGAAAATTTTCATCTTTAAAATTTTTTCTCTGCAGTACCACTTGCCTCTAGAGTTGCTGAGTCGTGAACAGTTCACTGAATGGATGGAAGTTATACGGCAAGTTGCAGATCGTCTGGTACCAGATCAGACTTTGCAAGTTGATGAGGAAGAACGACCAGATTTACCATGGTGGAAGATTAAAAAATGGGCTCTTCATATCCTGGCTAGAATATTTGAGAGGTAAGGATGACCTTTTTGTAGGTGATACTTGATCAGGTGGGTTGTGATGGCTGTATTGTATCATTGTGTAAATATTTTTTACTTGTTGAAGAGCATAAAATGTTGGAGAGATATTGTGACCAGGACATTAGGAAGATAATTAACCCTTAGACCGTGCATATTGGGGGTATACAAGTGAAAAATATTTAAATTATGTAATAATAACTTAAAGTTAAACAAGTCTCCAACTCATTGGCTTCAGTGTCGTGAAGCTTTCATCAAAATATCTTCAGAAATTGATTTTAGACAAATTTACAAAAATAAGAACATTTTGTTGATAAGGAGAACAGCTAATAACTGGAACTGAAGGATCATTCGGTAATGAAAAGATGCAAGCACCTGTCTGACGCTCAAAGAATAGTAGTAGTAAGAAGTGTCCATAAAGTGGATATGCAGTTGATGCCTTTGTATCACTGCTGAGTAATGCATAACAACTCAAATAATAATAAATAACTGTTAATATGCTTTATTTTGTTATATATCATAGAAATACATTGTCCAATGTTTATATGTTACTTTCATCAATGTTTAATCAATGATTATCAATGATTTTAGTTTTTTCTCGTTTGTTTATTATCTGATTTTGTTGTAACCTTTATATACTGGAGAATGCATGTTTTCCAAATTATGTGAAGATAGAATGAAATTGGTCAACAAATAAATCAGTCACAACTCCCAAAACTTGGGACTTAATGTTTTTTGACTGATTTGTTCTGATTTCAAACTATTTTCATTGTCTCGAGGTTGTTTTGATGATTAGGGACCATAGTAGGGCATTTTCACTTATATAAAGTATACCCTAAATATATCCCCTAAACCATTATACTGTACCTATATTTTGTGTTTTTTGGGGGTTATTTTTTCTTGAATTCATTTTAACACACCTACAACCTTCATGTATTCAAGTACGAATGCCAAACAATGTTAATTAAAATATACAATTAAATTAATGAATTAAAACTACCTTTATTCATGATTGATAACTTCAACTTCAATTATCCCTGAAACTAGAGTTTCAACTTTGAATGGCTTCCAAAATGTCCAGTTTTTGACTGATTCTCACTATTTTAACGTCTGCTCAGCTGTCTGTTCTGCAATCCCTTCAGAATGGATTTTTCATAAACTATACATTTGGAGTTATAATTTTTTTTGTCTAAATTGGCCGCATATTTCAAATGCTCTGTTGATGATTTTTGTTACAGTAAACTATACTGAAAACCTATATTCTAATTTGATGAAAATGAAGATCATATGCTATTCTGAGAGAATAATATTATTAATGAACAATTGGTGATAGTTCATATTTTTTATTCTGAATTGAAAATCTGAAGTTTTCCATATTCAATTCTAAAATTAATTTTGATTCTCTTGTTTTTCAAGTTAGGCTGTGATCATTTAGACAGAGTTGGAGCATTTGCCTAGTTGATTATGCCAAAAAAATTGGAAAGTGTATGTACAAGTTTTAAAAACTTGTGTTAAATTATTTTGTCAAATCATATACTGTATGTATGTATTGTGCGGTCTAAGGGTTAAATGGTTATTTATTTTTAGATATGTGGATCAATATATTTTTAAAATCAACTGCTGTCTTAAGCTATTAGATGTATGGTTGAACTCGTTGCCTAAGCAAGTCAAGTACTTCTTAGGTTTCATGTTCAACCTAGAGCACTTCAAGAAAACAATACTACCAGGAGCCATTCTTTGGTGGTTTCAAAGTTCTTGAGACAAAACAAATAACTTGTGCTTACTATTTAACACCATTAAAGGCTCTAGCATGTAGAGCCGTCATGCAATTGCTGGAACATCTTTACCCTGTATTTACCTAAATTTAATAATTTGTTTGTCATTATTATCTGTATTGTGTGAAAACAAAGTAATATTTACGTTTTAAACTTATTTTGCTCCTTTTCTGTCTTAGAATGGTGCCGTTTTGGAGGGCAGCCTTATGTTGAATTCTTCCTGGAGGTTTCAAATAATGTTCCAAAGATTTTAATGAATAGCATTATCATGTTTAATTATGTAGATTTTGTAGGAAGGGATAAGGTGTTTGCATTTGGAGGCAAATGTGAAGCCTTTGCAAATTCTTTATTCTCATTAGTAATATCTGGAGTACAGTTGTATCGCTGAAAAATGATGTTTAAGCTATAAAATTCAATGTTTATGCAGTCTTCCTAAATATTTGTCTATTGCAGATATGGTTGTCCCAGCACAGTAAGTAAAGAATACAAGCAGTTTGCCGTTTGGTTTATCAAAACCTTTACACAAGGCATTCTCCAGGTACTAATGAAGATCCTGGACTTGTATCGTAATAAAATTTACATCTCGCCTCGGGTGTTGCAGCAAACTCTTCATTATTTGGAACAGGGGTGAGTACATAATTATATCACAAGTTCATAGGCTGCGAAAGTGTGTGTTAGAAGAGAACGGGTGTCTCCTGTGAACATTTTATAAATGAATCTCGGTGAATTTGAGAGATGGTCAGTAAAATGAAAATAAAGTTTTTTTTTTTCATGCTTATCAAAATACAGTAAAGCTACATAGTAGTAGAAAATGTGTGGTTATGAATCAGAATTTGTTTAACTTGCAATAAATCCTTATAGCTTTATTCATACTGTATTAGTATGTCCTACTGATAATCCTTAAAATTAATTTTGTTTTTGCATTTTCCTCCACATGCACTGTATATCTAAAAAATTACTTTAGTTTGAAATGTTAAAGTAAAATATGCTTGGCCTGCACTGCCAATTGGTTGTCTAATAAGAGATACCGTGTGATGCTGCTCCTCCCTCAAAAGTGCTATAGTGTTAATTGCTTAATGATTTCACCTGATAATTATCTTTATCCCACTCCCTCAAGATTTGCCATGTCCTGTGTGATGTTGGGAGAGCATATTGTTTCTGCTTTAGACCTTGAAGATGGGATGGGCGTAACTATCATTTGTGGTACAGTATATTAGCAAATGATAGAGGCACCTGGTGGAAATAGATGCAAGGAATACAGTGGGATCAGACCACTCGCTAGACAACCAAAATTGGTAGCAGAGAGGGGTACTGTTTAACACACTTCATAGCAGTGTGTCGACACCTGGAAGAGTGCCAACGAAAGAGGAAAGATCGTTCATAGTGAATGGGGGGTTTAGATCAGAGAAGACAAAAGGCCATTACAGTTTATTAGGGAGACAAATGTACGTATCGAAAAGAATAATATTGGGTTGTGATTTAACACGAGAGGCACACAACAATACAATGTCAGCCGTGTAAGGAAGACTAGCTAACATGAGAATGGCTTTAAAGAAATTTGGCAAGATTTGTACAGCTCCGGCAGTAAACTATCCTATTAAAGCACAAGAAGAAAATGAAAAATGTCAAAAGATTTGCCATGCGATGAGTACCAGAGATAAGATAAGCTCATGAGAAAATAGGTCAAAAGATAATGATTACATTGCATAAGATACTGAAGGAATAGAAAATTGGATTAAGACTCAAGCAGGTGAGAGTGGTAAACAAATGGAATGAATTTCAGCCAACTACCACTGGTGGAATATATTCCCATGACTTAAAAAGGAAAAATATTGGGAGGTATAGATGCACTAGGTACAATAGCTACGATTTAAGGCTGTTACGACGATCTCGATTTCAGTACACACAAGTAGGCCAGCATATTTTACACCAGTGTTAGTATTTTAATAATACTATGTAGTATTTTAATATATAATGGTTATACCATTCTTGATTACTGCATGCTATCAAGAAATTAATCTATTTAAATGACAATATAATTTTTTTTTTTTTTTTACAGCGTGGGTCAGTCTATAGCATGGAAACTTCTGAAGCCTCACATGTTATCAGTGGTTCAAGATGTGCTTTTCCCCCTAATGTGCTATTCTGACTCGGATCAAGAACTATGGAATTCAGACCCATATGAATATGTTAGGGTTAAATTTGGTAAGATGTCTTGCTGATGTAAATCTGAAATTTAAACATTCTTAATTATGTTGGACATGAAATAGTCAGATTAATTTTATCTTCTGAGTAGGTAGCCATTCTTATTTGTAAGGTGAATCATATTAGCTGGCCTTGACCAATTAGGATTAATTTCATCCGAGTTACATTAGGATTGGCGCTATGATGCAGTGAGTTGCATCCTGGATAGTTTGAAGAGTCCAAATCTAGATATGAATGATCACCAACTTCATTTTTTATCAGGTCATAAAAGTTTTATATATTTGCTGGCAAGCAGTGGTGGGAACTGATTCCATTTGCAATCCACCCCTGAAACAAAAGGGTGATATTATTTCAATGAACAGTCATTCCTTATTTATGAATAAAGTGCACCTTGCACATTATTTGCAAATGAAGTTTGAATTTTATTCAGGATTAGCTTTTTGCATTTCCTGTGCTTGGAGTGAAAGGGTTAAGATTTAGGTTATATTAACGTTTAGCATCTTGCTAGGCACTGCTCATAAATTTTGTTGTTACAACATTTGAAGACTTGTGTTTGGTTATAAATGAGGAAAGATTATTAGTACTGTGTAACAAACATTTTTGATTGTATATTTTGTTTAAACTACTATGTATCATATATATGCTATTTTATATCTTTCAATATGTAAATAAGTCCCACTAATATTGTACTTTTCTTTTGTGCAGATATATATGAGGACCTTGTGTCTCCTGTGACAGCAGCCCAGGCGCTCCTTTTATCTACTGTGCGTAAGAGGAAGGAGATGCTGGAGAAAACTATGATATTTTTAATGCAAGTGTTGACTACACCCAATGTTGATCCAAGACACAAGGATGGTGTTATGCATATGGTAATTGCATATTTAGTCTTACATTATTGTACTAAATAAGCGGATCTATCTTGATTTGAAATGGTTTTCCAGTTGCGAGCTTCTCTTAAATATTGTAGCTTGTCTTTTACACATGATGCTCATGCTGACATGTATACATTGGCTGCACATGGAAAGCTGGGAGATCTAAAAATAGCATTCAGGAAAAAAAAGACAAGATAAATTTGCAATAAGGCTAGTCACTACAGTAGAGATGCTACGTAACACAGTAAAGATGTTACTTAACACAGTAGAGATAGTACCTGAATTAAGAGGACTTGGTTAAGGTACTAGATGGGAACTAAAACAACTAGAGGCATGCTATAAGGAGCTTCCAGTGCGTAGTTTGCAACCCCTTGAATGCCAGCATTTGTTCATAACAATTTTGATTGCCTTACACTGAGATGGGAGTTTGAGCAGATACTAAGATCTTGACTAGGCAATTGGACCAGAATAGCCATCTCTTAAAATAATGCAACCAGCAGCGATATTTCCTACTGCTGGAATGTTATGTTGAATATTATCTTAGGTGAGATCTTTATTAGGGGATGCAGTAGGACCTTGTCTTTTGGGAGTAACCGAGTGTGATAGCTCAGAAATAACTGTAAATTTTAAGGAAAGCTATTATGAGTGTAATTCAAGTTTTCTTCTTTTCCTTTATGTAGATTGGCACAATGGGAGGTGTATTGCTCAAGAAGAAGATCTACAAGGATCAGATGGAAACTATGATTGCCCAATATGTCTTTCCTGAGTTTCAGAGTCCATTTGGCTTCATGAGAGCACGGGTAAGTGTAGTGTGGTATTCTAGTCTTAAATAATCTTGTAAAAGGTTGTAAAATGTGGAGAGGAAAGCTAACAATATTTATTTTGGCTGACTTTACGTAATACAGTACTGTGTTCATTTATTGTTTCCAAAGAAATTCCTAACTCCAATACTATAGTTTCCACCTTTTTTTAATATATATATATAATTTTATTTTATTTATTTGTGCTGTTTTTGCAATATCTGGAAAAAGTCAATGCACATTGGTTTCAAACTTCCATACTTATGTATGCTGGTGTAAACAAGTTGCATATTATTATTGGGTCATGCAGCACCCTTTTTTTAACTGATATATTGGGAGGAGAACAGCTTACTTGTATGAGGAAAAGATTTCATTTAATACTCAGACCATTTGAGACAACTTCACTTTGCAAGGTCCCCCCCCCCCCCCTCCCCTGTTATTATGTATTTCGAGGTTGGCTCTAGAGGCTAGATTATGCCCCGTGTTGACGCGACTAGATGTGCAGTAGATTGTAGTTTCAAAGTGTTATATGACAGAGTGCTGGGAAGACAGGACACCACGAGCGTAGCTCTCATCCTGTACCTACACTTAGGTAATTACTTATGATTAATAGACAACTATGCCCATAGGGACATTACTTGTAGGAACTTGCATGTATTGGTCATTGGACTGTGCAGTTTCCACATATTCTTATGTTCAGGAACCAATGTTACAAAGATATTGTTTTTCACCTCGAATATCACCTTTCTTTTCCTTGCCTATGTATTAAAGTACTATATTGCATTGATTATACTTTTGCTGATGTGTTAACACAAAAGGGCTCAAATAATTTTTTGTTCATTTTCCCTTCGTGTTTATATATTTTCACATTCATCATGTTAATTTCTTAATGATTTCCACTCAATGTATGCAGGAATGTGTTTTGTTTTATTGATTTATTTATTCTAATTGTTCCCAAAAATGAATTAGTGGGTAGTTCTTGAAGCAGTACAGTATACTGAATTAAAATATACCTACTGTACATCTAATGAAACAAAAATCTTTCAGGCTTGTTGGATCCTGCAAAACTTTGATGAGATTAGATTCAAATCGGATCAAAACATTATGGCAGCCATGAACTGTATTCAGAATTCCCTACTCAATGATCACGACCTACCAGTCAAGGTAGAAGCAGCTATGGCTCTTTCAGCTTTCCTCGCCTCTCAAAACAAAGCTGAGAAAATAGTGGAACCAAATGTGAGTGAACTCCATTGTTAACTTTATAATGTGTTTATTGTTGTATCGATTCTTGAGAAATTTATTCATTGGCCTGTTAATAATTGTAAACTTTAAGTTCCATATTGGTGACAAGTTTCAATATTTTCACTCTGCTCTTTTAATAATGGGCATATGAACATTTGTAAAGAAATGCCTTTTCCTCATCTCATCTGTTTAATAAGTGACTTTGACTTTTGTATCAAGCTAATGAATATGCAATTATTATGATTTCCAGATTAGACCAATTGTTCAAGAACTACTTAAGGTCATAAAGGAGACTGAAAATGATGATTTAACCAATGTGATGTGCAAGATTGTCACCACCTACACGACCAACTGACACCAATTGCTGTAGAAATGTGTACTCAATTAGCAGCAACATTCCAACAGGTGATTAAAAGCAAGTTTTCTGTTGTAATGAATGGGTCTTCTGTTACACACAAATCACAATAGCGTGATGCATCAAATGAACAAATCTAAAAGGCCATGACAAGGATTCGAACCTACGTCAGAGAGCAGCGTTATAAGCAGCTTTACAAAAAGTTACAGCGTCTGGGATGCTCTCGGACGTAGGTTTGAATTCTCGTCACGACCCTTGTGGATTTGTTCATGGATCTTCTATGTTTTATTTATTTGGATCCTAAATTTATTTTTAAATCCAACTGATGATTACCAATTTTTTTTTACCTTGTATTAGCCATGGATGTTTTTCAACGTGTATCTAACTGAATTTATCATTTAGGTATTTATTAAAGTTTGTAACTCGGGCAGAATGTAACCAGACATCATTGAGAGTACTGTTATCTGCCCTTTTCAAACTGTATTGGTGAATGACATTAAAAATTTATCTTGAAAATAAACATGCTCAGTTCCAAATTACTTTAGTTTATATTATCTATTTATTACTAAATTAAATTTGTGTGCTCTTTTAGGTGGTGGTGTGCTAAATAAAAATGAGGAACACTTTCTGAAAATGTTAGTTTGGAGATAATTTGCATGAGTGAGCTAATATTTTGAGGCCATATAATTGGGTATTGGGCCATTCCAAGGTTGAAAATGGAGTATTTGCAGGGCCAATACAAATATAACTTCAAGATGACCAATATAAAGAGCTAACTGGAAGAGTAAACTGTTCAGATAAGGGATATTGTTCCTAGTCCCTTTTTCAACTTAATTACCAACTGCCATTTTTTAAGTCCATTATTTAAATTGCTTTGCCATTTTTTCTTTACTGATTAAATTTGTTAGCCATTAAATTTGGCTGTATATTGAAGGTGGTGATTATTTTGTATGCTTTGAAAGCAAGAATTGTTATGCTTCTAGGTCGTGGATGCTGAAGATGGTGCAGATGAGAAGGCCATAACAGCCATGGGCTTGCTTAGCACAATTGAAACCCTAATCAACTGCATGGAAGAGAATCCTAAAATAATGGAACAGATTGAACCAATTACACTGCAAGTTGTTGGTCTTATCCTCACCAAAAATGTGATGGGTAAGTTTTTTTTGCCATATTCCTTTTTTCAAAAATACAATTCCATTACATATTATCAAATTGTTGCTTTCCAAGATTACAAGATGGCTATATTTATTCAATTAAAAAATATAATTATAAATTTCAGGTTATTTGCATGTCGGCTTGATAATTTCAGGAATTATGTATAATGGTAAAGGGAAGATTCTAAATGGATGCCCATCAATTTTTATGAAGTGAAGTTTAGTGCTCTATACTTTATATGCAGCTTCTTGTAACTGGAGTATCTTTGTTAGTACTGAATCATGTTTGCTCATTAACTTATTGAGAAGGTTGCTTAACCAACTTGTAATTTTAGTGCTTTCCACCTGTTAATTGCAAAGAGACCTTGTACTTTCTCAACATATTAGAATGAGTTCTTAACCTGTCTTTCTTGCTATAAATCACTGTAATTCTAGTACTAGGCATATTACAAATATCTAAATTCTTCAGGTTCTCCAGTATGGATTCCATGCTGGAGAAGAGTCCTTATCCTGACCTTCCTAGTGCTAGATTGTCGTAATGGCTTGGAACGCACTCTTGATTGAATTTTTTTTTTTTTTTTATAAAAAAGTAGAAATATCCTTTGTAGATTTTTAACACTCGTTTTAACTGCACCCCTCAGAGTGCTGTTATTTTCACAAGTTGACTAATATTGGGTAGTGCGGTTATCATACTTTGATTTAAACTATTATTGCCCGTTGACCAGACCACACCCTAGAAAGTGAAGGGATGACGACGTTTCAGTCCATCCTGTCCATCCTGGACATTCTCAAGGAGATTGTGAATGTATTATTGCCTGGGTTTTATACCAGTGCTGCTATTATGAACATAATAGCTCTATATGGATGTAGTGGAGTTTACCAGGACCAACGACGAAAATGCTGCTATCATTTCTTGATTGTGGTTATCGTCGCAGGTGTTGCAGCATGAGCAATCGTCATGGTATAAAATTTCATTAATATATATACTGATATTTATACATGTATACTGATTCATACGGTTTTCATAACTGTTTGGGGTTGTAATCATCAATTGAACATAGAGGAACTATAGATGGCCTATTGGCCTTTATATATAGGAGCTGCCTTATATGGGCCAATTCTTGTTCCCTCGGTTGTCCCCATTGTTTTACATTTTTATAGATATATTCATACATTCATTGTAGGCTTAAATACTATGTTTACAGTTCTGTGGCAAACCGCCCCAGAACTGCTAGCAGGCATCCCCCCACAGCCCCAGGAATCCGCAACAGAGGCCCCGGGGCAGATCCGTCCTCCAAGCCCTCTGCCCTTAAAGAAAAGGAAGTCTATGGGAAAGGCAGTAAGAAAGGGCCGCTGGTAAGACCCAGAGGCCTTGGCAGGAGGAACAGGCTCGAAAACCTCTTGTCCCCAACCCGAACGGGGCAGCCCCCCAAAACACCTGAGTCTCAGCCCCAACTAAACCCTGCCCCGACCCCGAAACTCGTAAACGGTCCGGAGCCGGAAACAGGGAGGGAAAGGAGCGAACGGCACCTAACCAAAACGGGGCGGCCCCGGGGAATCCGAGTGGGAAACCAACCTAGCTTGCAACACGGATGCTGCCTGTACTCTGAACAGTAGTAACATCAGGAGAGTACTGGAGAACAAGCAGAGAATATCTCTTGCAAGACTCTGGGTCAAGGTGTTAGTGACCCAACAGGCAACACGATGGAGGTAAAAGTGGCGACTGTCACCCCAGAGACAAGGGCACAGCAACCAACGATCCCGTACAAGACGGGTTGGAACTCAGAAGACACATTCAATGGTCCACTGAGCCCCAACAGGAGTTTCCAGGGCCCGTAGGGTAACGACTACGGGAAGCCCGGGCAAGGTGATACTAACCGGTTAAGAAACTAAAAAATAACAAGGGGGGGTAGAGGACAACACTGAAAACACCTGCGACGTGTACAATCACGGGGGCCTAGCAGAGGGCCACCAAACACTACCAGTGGAACTATAGTCACACTAGGCAGACCCCCACCAGGCAAATAAAAATAAAAACAGAAGAAAAACCCCGCAAAAGTACACCGTCACCAGAGGCAACAGGAACCGGTCGCCGCTTAGGTGGCAGGTCGCGCAACACCTTGACGCCCTAACCAGCAGAATACCAGTCCCTATCCAGGGCCAAACAAGGGCCTTAAGCCCCAGTTGGCCCCAAGGGTGAGGCAAATGCCGAGCAGCAAGAAACTACGGGAATGGTTCCCGAACACCCCAGGGAAAATAACCCTGTCACGCAGGAGCAGTACTCACAGGGCGCTTAGGGAAGGAAGCCCCTAAGTGCATACAGCCCTGGTACTGATGAGGACGGGAGGGACCACCTGGGTACAGGAATTACCATTAATTTTAGAACAATAATCTTAGCCAAAAACAAATGAAATAAGTACTAGTAATTATGTAATAACAAATAAATAAGTTTCCTAAAAGCAATGTGCACAGGCTGAAGTTTCCTTCAAAAATATTTAGTTTTTTCCTCCTGGCGGCCTACGTAACGTACTATAACTGCCCCAAGTGGGCCCGTCCAACACTGGTCAACCCATGTGCTCCCGTCCCTCGTGTTATACCACAGTGCTGCACCAGTAGTGAAATATTTGTTTAAACAACTTTTTTATTTTCATAGTAACTTTAAACATTTATGGCCAAGACTATGTAGCAGCATCAATCGTTCTGGAGGTGTTAAGAGGAAGAAGGTTGTCCTAGCAATTAAAGACAAGTTACGTGTTTGTTCAACCAGTGAGGCATCACAGGCAGCCAAATGCCTTCAACAAGTGAGGCGCCACAGGCAAGCCAAGTGCCGTCAACAAGTGAGGACCTGGCCACTGCACAACACAACACACGGCAATGAACGCCACACAAGGCAAACACCGCCTTGGAAACTGAGGCCAGAGGAGCGTTTATCCCAGTTGACATTAGCTTACGAACTGATGTTAGGCAGCCGGCGCGGTGAGGTCCGGGGCTCCCCCCTCCCCCTCTCGGGACGGGGAGGGCTACGCAGACGATCGGCGTGGCAGTAGTGTGTGATGTTTGCTTGTTTCCTTGGGATTGTAGGGAGTTTCTACCTCTGTTCATTTTTTTTGTTAATTTTTTACCATGTGGGGTTTTTGTTATGCCTACCTTTCTGGGTGCCTAACCCCGGTCGATGTCAGATAAGGAAAACCCCAACCACAAGGAGGTTTTCCATGGTCATTACTCCCTGAAACCTCTTAAGGGGCCAGGTTCTGGCGCCGGTCCCTGGTAGGTCTGAACTCCTTAGCTAATATCCCGGTCTAATATAACATACATTAGCCCGATAAGCTCCAGGGAGCCTCTGGGGCTCACCCAGAAAATGGCGTTTCATTACATTCACTGCTGGTTTTTTTAATATATGCTATTGTGATAGCCGAGAGTCATTGACATGATTTCAGTTAACACATGTTTGATAATCGTTTTTGACCATTTTGGAAAATTTTTGACACATAATTCAATATTTTTTTTCTTCATTTATATTTTTGATACGATGCTGAGACAGTTGAAACAATTTGAAAAGGACAAATGCCATAAAGGTTCATTCAGTGTTTGTTGGGTAGGCTGCTCCATTATGGCAATCTGTTTCAAATGTGTTTCATTTGTTTTGTATTTTTCATTTACCTCTCAATAATGTAGCAGCCTACCCGACAAACACTGAACGAACCTTTGTCATTTGTCAGTTTTTCAAATTGTTTCAACTTTTTTTTTTTTTTAACATGGAGCAGCCTACCTGCCGAACACTGAATGAACCTTTTTGACATTTGTTGTATTTAAAAAAACTTTATAGTTTTTTCTACAAAAAAGTCAATTCTTTGCAGTGACCCCTTTATATCCCAGCATCATTAGCATCTTTTAACAAAAACGACATAATTTATTTGCATCGTCGGAGGCGTCCGAGAATGTGCGTGAAGCAGCGCAACCTCACCATGAGGTGGTGTTATACAAACGAGCAGTCGCCATACGAGACGAATTATCGGCGATTGTTACCCAAAATGCTCGCCATTTGAGGCGATCGTCACTCGAGATTCTGCTGTATCTGTTTGCTGTTTTTCAATGTCTTCTGCAGAGGTAATTTTCATGCTGATTTTTGTATCTGCAAAAGGATGACACAAAGCTGTGACTTGTATTTTTGTCTATATCTGATATGAGAATAAGGAACAGCAGTGGTGCAAGGACTGTACTTCGAGGTACAGAGCTTTTAACTGCGCTCGGACTCGATTTTATTTGATTGACTGTTACCCTTTGTGTTCTGTTCGACAGGAAATTGAGTATCCAGCTTCGCACTTACCAGTTATACCCATGACCTAATTTTGTGTGCAATCACTCCATGGTCACATTTGTTGAATGCCTTTGCAAAGTCTGTGTATACAACATCTGCATTGTTTTTCTTCTAATGCCTCAGTGATTTTGTCTTAATGGTCAAGTAGCTGTGAGAGGCATGATATTCCCACTCTGAATCCATGTTGGCCTGGATTGTGGAGGCCATTGGTTTCCATGAAACTAGTGACCTGGCTCCTGATCACTCTTAAAGCTGGTTTGGCCATTAAATCACAGTCGATTAAAATTGTTAAAGGTTAAATTTAAAGGTTAAATTCGGCCATACCGTATTAATTCCGTCTGCCTGTGGCTCTAGAGGCATGGTGGAGGAGGGGGTGGGGTGAGTAGGTGGTGTCGGGAGGGTGGGAGGGGAGCGTCGGGAGGGACCACCTGGGTGCAGGAATTACCATTAATTTTAGAACAATTAATCTTAGCCAAAAACAAATGAAATAAGTACTAGTAATTATGTAATAACAAATAAATAAGTTTCCTAAAAGCAATGTGCACAGGCTGAAGTTTCCTTTAAAATATTTAGTTTTTTCCTCCTGGCGGCCTACGTAACGTACTATAACTGCCCCAAGTGGGCCCGTCCAACACTGGTCAACCCATGTGCTCCCGTCCCTCATGTTATACCACAGTGCCGCGCCAGTAGTGAAATATTTGTTTAAACAACTGTTTTATTTTCATAGTAACTTTAAACATTTATGGCCAAGACTATGTAGCAGCATCAATCGTTCTGGAGGTGTTAAGAGGAAGAAGGTTGTCCTAGCAATTAAAGACAAGTTACGTGTTGTTCAACCAGTGAGGCATCACAGGCAGCCAAATGCCTTCAACAAGTGAGGCGCCACAGGCAAGCCAAGTGCCGTCAACAAGTGAGGCACAAGCAAGTGCCTTCAACAAGTGAGGCACAAGCAAGTGCCTTAAACAAGTGAGGCGTCACAGGCAAGCCAAATGCCTTCAACCACTGAAGCTTTAGTAGCTGGCAGTCAAAACTAACTTTGCTTAATGAACTGTACAATAATTTTAAGTGTTAATTTTAGTATTGTGTTAGTATAGGTTATGTAAATTGTTAAGAATTCTTAACTTAAAGATGTGTGGCATCAATCAAGAAGACGAACACCAACAAGGTAAGTTGAGGTTTCTAATTGAATGTTTAATAATTATATGTGGCAAGGCAATTCAAATTATGTTTGTAGTATAAAAATAGTTGGAAATGGTCACTTTTGGACTCGTAGGTGAAAAAGTACCATTATCCGAAAAATGTGAAAATCCGGCTGGGGGTCCTTCCCATATAATCCGGATGATCGAGTGGAGACAGTATGTATTGTTTCACACACCATTTACACAGTAACACTGTATTACACACTCAGTACTTCGGAAGTGAGTAATAATCAACAAAGTAGTCCATGGTACACAGCGCAACTTCGCTCTCGTTGCACCAAGTACAGATAGATTTCGCTTCCGGTTTCTTCGTTCTGTGTGCTTGCAAATAACGCACTCACGTACACCCTTGGCATTAGTACCTGTAGGTGTTTTGTAGCCAAGCTTGTAAAACGTAAGGTAGTCGTGAAAAGATCGCTTTGTATGGTTCCCACACAGGAAGAGATTCAGCTAGCCTCAAAGAGTGTCCGTCAGTCAAGAAGAGATTCAGCTATTCTTGAAATTATCTGGAAAACACCACCATGGAAGCTGCTAACACTGTTCATCTATGCTATTTGTATCAGATGCATCATCACTGAACGCAGAAAACAATTCATCTATGTATCATCTAAATAAATTGGAGATAGCATAGGTGGGCCAGGGTGGCGCTCAGAGCTACAATTGGATATGGTCGCTGTATCGTCCTCATAGGTGCTGTATAACTTGCATCCGACCTTTGTGTTAGGTCCTTATTGCACCTAGCTTCACCAAAATTATGACTTATGTTCTTCAAACAATAAGGTTTGAATTTCACCGACAGCGCACGATCTTTCAACACCGCGTCAGACAGCTGTTTCGGAGCCAGAAACGCGTGCGCCACCCAAGGTTGCTCATTCAGTACTAACCAAGCCAGCAGCCCTAGGGCATTCTGGGATTTTTTTCCAAGATGGCTGCCCCTCTCTGGAGGTCCTAAGAGTCCATTTCATACACAACTAACCCCCACACATTTAGAATGGGTATGAAAAAATAGTTTTTTCTCGGTTGGTGCAGTTAAGTGGTTAATATACAGACCTCCTCCTCCACTTGCCCTAATTACTGTCACATCTATATAGATTATAATTTGGGATCCATATTTCACTATCATGTGGTATTTTGTGTGGGTTTCTGTAAATGCACCAAATATTGAGTTCAATTCTATTAGGGGGCCATTTATGAACTTCATTTCTTGAATTTGGTTTTAGACCTTATATGTTTGCAAATATGAATGATTTCCCATATTGCGTGTCACTTCTTGTGGGCTTTGGTAGTTCTCCCCCTCTCCACCCAGGTCCAGGGTGTGTTGTTTTGGTAGTGTTTCGTCCAGTTTCGGTAGAAGTACGGGTACGGGTAGTAGTCCAGGTGTAGTATGTACCTGTGTACTTGTTGATAATTTGTATTCTAGTCTTGTGGGTCCCTTCCCTCCCTCTCTCTGTCTGTCTGTCTCTCTCTCTGGCTCACGTGTGGGAATATCCAAAGCTCCTCTTATGGTAAACACTGTACATTAAATTTGTTCCTGATGTCATCCTGTTTGTGTACTGCCAACATTTAGGAATAGACAGGATTGACAAAAACAGGCCCTTTTAATTGGGAGAAACAGAACAAGGGTGGAAGATTGAAACCCAGATGAGACATTCTTTTAAGAAAATACTCACATTATATAGTTGATTAAAAAGTGGAGTGCACAGATGTTCTAGAAACCATATCCTTCCACAACTTCGAGTCATTACTACTGTGAACTTGAACATCCAGAGTGGGGACCAGTAGAAGTAACTGTAAGGCGGGGCGCAAGGAGGCAGTGTTTCGAAAAGTTGTCCTTCACAAGGATTGAGGGTATGTCCCGTGACACTTCAAATAATTATGTATGTAATTATTTTCATGTTAAAATTGATCTTTCACTAGCCAGAACAAATCCAAGAAAGATTCCTTTTATATCTGACACTATTTTTATTTTCTCTCCTTCAGAGTTTTATGAAGAAGCACTTGCACTCATTTATAGCCTTACGAGTACAAGAATCTCTCCAGACCTTTGGAAATGTTTCGAAATGATGTATCAGGTAAGTGCAGCTGACTTCATAAATTTCCCTTTGAGTTTGTTCTGAATGTTGCCTCTTTGGCCACTGGTATTTCACTTTCCACCATAATTGAATGCTTTTAGTGCTAAAAGTGACTTTAGCCACTCCATGCTTTACAGACTTTTAAGTGTGATAGGCAACTTTGTTCTTGGGCTAAAAAAAAAATGGTTTAATATATAGTGGTGCCGTTAAGCCCTATACAGTAATTGTAAATGTATAGCCCCTATTTTTTCTTGCTAGAAATTAAAAATGTAACAAACCAACTTGAAAGTATTGGAAGAAAAGGAATTTTGTTTGACTGACCCCAAAATACTGTGCATATTATGCACAGAAGTTATTTGCTGTACCTATTATATGCATTGGAAACTCGTAAGGCTTTTGATAGGTACTTGAACTACACCATTAATGAAATTTCTGTACATTTTAAAATGTCAATTTGTTGTGGTATAAAGTACATAAAGAGTGCTCCCTTTTTCATTTTGGAAATTAGTGTTGAACCTCTATAGCCTGGTATTCAGTTGCTTGGCCCATTTAGTACTCATTCACTTTAGAGAAACCAAAAATTTTCTGAGGATTGCCTCAGGAAATATAAGTGACAAAGAAATGGAGATAACAAGCAGAAATGAAACTTGCAGAATGGAAGTCTTTATTGACATAGTAATGTGTATCATTTTAAGTGGAATTGCAGTGAGTATAATTATTGACAAGGAGTCTCGGTAGGGACAAAAAAGGGAAACCTATTTATATTCTCCTAGAAGTTCTGTGGGTGGCCTCGGCCAACCAGTGTACGATTTACTTAGTTCACTGGAATGATTTATTTCGATTTACTCTTGTCTATTTTAAACACTTTGCTAATTATTCCATCGCTTGAGCTCTTGCAGTATCTTTTTTTTTTTTTTTTTTTTTTTTTTTGTATATCCAACTTTTTCAAATAGGTTTTGTAAATTCTCTTATCATGCAGATGTTCCGGAACGATGGCTTTGACTACTTCACGGAGATGATGCCAGCCCTGCATAATTACGTAACTGTTGACCCGGATGCATTTTTAAGCAACGAGGCTCATCTTTTGGCAGTATATGAAATGTGCAAGACCATACTAACGCAGGTTTGTATAACATGACATTTTTATATGTCAATATGTTGAATGTTGGTTGAATGCCAGTGATATATAATTTATTCTGCAGTCAGCCTGGTGTTGTTTGTTATGGATAACACAAAGCATACTTTAATATAGGGCTGTTTTATGACATGGCCCCCCCCCCCCCTTCCCCAATGAAATTAGCTCACACCCCCTTTCAATTTTCCTGTGAGTTGGTATGCATGTAGACGATGAGTCAATAACGTGGCTGAAAATATGACCAAACCGCACATCAGAAAATGCAGACATAGCGATGTTTCGGTCCGTCTTGGAGTATTATCAAATTGTGTAATAGAAAGAGGAAGGGACAGACAAATAAAATAAGGCAAGCGAGGACACATTTTATTGCTCTTGCACGCTCCCGGGTAACACGCTCTCACTTTCTCTGTTGCAGATGGTATACCGGGCTTTTGGACTTTATATGCTTTTAGTCCTGTAGAGAATTCTATTGGGAACACATTGATACCAAATTGAAAAACCTAGGATGAGAATTGAGATGACAAAGTTGAAAAGAGTATACACTTTTCAGTATTACCGCACACTCCTGTGGAATGCTAGTGGTGCACCGTGGGGTGGGGTGGCATTCTCTCGCCCAATGTGCCAAAGTGTTAACCAAATGTCAGATTGATGTGAAATTTTAATTTTTGGTTTTTGAGACCAACACAACTTGGAGAAAAATTCAATGGGATTTGATGTTGGGCCCTGTCATAGAATGACCCTATACTGGACTTTTAAAAATGACATCCTTGTTTATTTCTGTGAAATCATGTTCCCTCACTGGGAAAATATTACTTGTGAAGATTTTGGTTATGCAATACTTTATTTTTCAGGACTGTTCGGAGGATGATGAATGCCATGCTGCCAAGCTGCTTGAGGTGGTGGTTCTGCAGTGCCAGGGTCGCATCAACCAGTGTTTGGGGTCAATAATTCAACTGGTAGTAGAGCGACTGCTGCGAGAAGTCAAAACTACAGAGTTGCGCACAATGCTATTGCAGGCAAGTTTGTTTATTTGCACGATAGGTTTGTTTGGCTTTTAAAAATGTTCGGTGTTGGTGGCTTATCTTCAGTCACGACATGCTGTGGCCATTAACACTTGTAGTGGCTTCAGCACATTTTGAGTTTCTAAAGTTAGGTCGGGTATGATAGTGTCCTTGATTGCTTTCATATCTGGGTTACTGAAAAAATTGGCTAAGGTAGGTTTGCCAAGTGCAGTTGACAGGGCTCTGTAAAGTGTGTGGCCATTATGATAAATTCATCAATCTCTTAATGTTGGGGACTTCCTACACTGCTGTTTGAGCTTAGCAACTAAAATATTCATGGATTATTGAATATTAGTAATAGTGACAACAGCAGGGCCTCCCTGAAAGTTCCTATGGACGATACACAGTAAGAGAGTGGCACTCGCATGACTTTGGGGAGTGAAGCCGCATCACCTAGTTTTGACAGCAACAAATTTTCTCATCTTGCAAGACCCAAAGACAACTAATATTGTTTTCCATGATTTTTCCTGTAATCTCATTCTATAACTTAACAAGTATAAAGGATTTTCCTGGCAGTTAAAAACAAAACAAAAAACAAAAAAAAGTGAAGGGCTGATAAATTTGACCCAAAATGCAATGGCTTGGAATTTGTAAGTTTCCTGTATTGTTCAAAGGAAAAGTTAAAAATATTGATTTTTCCCAAATTATGGCAATTTACAGATATGCTGTATTTTTGTGTGTAATTCAGGCTTATCACAGTTAAGTGTTTGTTGCAGGTAGTAATAGCAACACTGTATACTGCCCCAGACCCACTCCTACAAGTTCTAGAATCTACAATGTTACCCAACACAACAATAACTCTTACGTCGCACTTCATCAAGCAGTGGATTCATGATACAGACTGTTTCCTTGGGTAAGTCTGAGTAAGATTGGTTTAGTAGCTGGCTGCACCCAGCATGCTACAAGGCTTGCTTATTTGGTTTTGATGAGCCCAGTAGGCTCTGTAACCTGTACAGCAGTTGGTTAAGTGGTCAAGAGGCAGGACCAAAAAGCCATAGCTCATCCCCCACAAGTATAACTAGGCAAGTAAAAGTTTGCTTCCTTTGGCAGGGTTAATTAAAATTGAGCAGTGGGTCGAGGCCAGAGCCCAGGCAGACCACACATTATTGTAGGTTAGGATAGAGCTAGTTCTTATTCACCAAAGTCACTGATAAGTAAACACATTCATATAATAAGCTTGTCTGACCTATCTACCCCCTCTGTAATATCTATATTTTAAATACATGTATGGATATAAAGGAGGGGCTAATTTTATTTGTCCCCAGAAAGTATACTTGCTGATATTTTAGCCTGTGCTACGTAAACTTTCAAAACTGCGAAGGCATTTCAAAAACGGCCTTTCATTATTTTTAAATTAGCACTGCTATTAATTTTGTTCCAAATTGTTTTAATAGTTACGAGAATTGACATTCCCTTTCTAAGACTGAGGCAATATAGTGAGCTGAATAATAAAGCAGGATTAGTGGTTCTTGGAGAATCCTCTGGTAACTGCCTCTTATAATTTTACACCTGTTCAAAGTGTACGAATAACTATAGTATGTAGAACACAACACAAATATTTCACCCCCCCATTTATGAATGATATTGCCTTTTGTTAGAATAAAATAAATGCTTTGCACCACCTCATTTAATGTAATATTGTTTGAATTATGAAAATTGGAAAAGCTGCATTATTTACTGATAAACATTCTACAGACTTCACGACCGTAAGATCTGTGTCTTGGGAATGTGCACATTGCTTCAACTAGGGCCAGAACGCTTGGGAGTTCTACAGGAGTGCCATAAGGAAATTCTTCCAGCTATGCTCTTGCTGTTCCAGGGTTTAAAAAGAGCTTATGCAGGTAACTTTGAAATTTGCTTTGGTTCTTGTCTAACAGTGTGCTTGTTTTTAGGGATTATAATTTTGTGGGGGAGCCGCCGCCACCCCTCCTTCCCTCCCGTACTTGCCATATTTACTTTAAAAAGTTATGAATGGAATTATTGACATTGACTACCTCTTCAATTCAGTCTGTGTTCACTAGTATTCTGAAGGAATAGCAACTTGAATTCCTGTGGCTTGTTTGTTTTAAAGTTTTCACATAACCTCTAGTTCTACTTCTCGGTTAAAACTATCTAGCTTGTCTGCATTATGGTTTTTGGTACAGTATTTTGTACATCATGACCAGTTTGCTCCTGGAACTTCGCACCAGTGTTTAACTCCCATTGTCTGGAACAGAAAGGCTCTACTTAGCTCTGAGTTAAAATTCACAAGGGTTAAAAGGTCTTGGTTTCACCATATTCATGCTAATTATTTTGGTAAAGTAGGTTTAGTGAATACAATGTGTTACTGCATATTGAATATATTGAAGCAAAAACACTTTAACTAATACTTTTACAATTGCAGCAAAAGCCAGTGAAGAGGATGACGATGACGACGACGATGATGATGATGACGATGAAGATATTGAACATGGTGAGATAGTCTTTTAAACCTCCTTACCTCTCTCTTTGTTTATTGCTTATTAATTTTTTAGGTAATATTGATAATGTGAAAGATTGTCATTTATGTATTTGAGCATGAATGGATTGGACTAACTTTGGTATGATGGAGCTCCTAAAGGAAGGCTATGTAAGCACGGGCTACATGCTCTTATGGCCACAAGCACTAGGAACAGAGTTATTTGACACCCACCAGATGGTGATCAGTGCCTTTTTAGTTACAATAATGTACCTCTTCACTAGGGTTATATTGAACACACAACCTTTCAAGATACACTTAACATGCACTTTACTAACATCTGACACTTGTCAGATGGTAAATGTGTCCATGATTTTTCAAATAACTTCGTACTTGACTTATTTAAAAATAATCTTTGTTTACTATTGCATATTCAAATTAGGTGCAGGGTGAGGCTTGAATTTGTGAGCCAGGGAGCGTGTCTTGTTTTCCGACCGTCCCCTGCAGTCGCTTGTCCCTCGATAGAATTCTTGGTGAATCGGATACTTTTGATATCGTTCGCCTTATGCGTTTCTGTTCTTGTATTGGAATCCTTGGTGATATTTAGCGCCCTCTGATTATTCTGCACATTTGATGGTGCTACATAGCCTTCTCGGTTTGGTGCCATCTTTTGATAATTACTTACTTGTGAGCCAGGGCTGGTGGATGTTCAGTTGAAACATTTGTTATACTGTATATACGAGTTGGTTGGTAAATAAACTCACTAAGATTAAAGAAAGATAAGAATTATGGATGATGATGATGCTAAAGACTTCAAAAGATTTCGTTGTATTGAGTTCAGGCTCGAGAAGTTGTAGAAAATTATTGTGGCTCAATATCAAAACAAAGGACTGAGGTTTGCAACACAAGTCCAAATACTGATTAAAATCTACAGACATCACTGTCCATGTTTGAAAATGACTCAAAATGTGTATTGTGAACTCCTTAAATCAGCGTAACCAAAACGCCTTTCCTAACCTTCCATAGACCGATTATATATCATAAAATTTATTGAGGAAAGTGTTTTACAGATTGAAGATTGATCTTGTCAGTTGTGTGCTGTACAAGTCATATACTGGCTAATAAGTCAACATTTCATTCATTGCTTGTGATGAAGGATTTGTTGAATTACTGATGTTCTTGACATTTTGAATATCTTGTTTGCAGAAGTGCTAGAGAGTGATGAAGATGAATTGGATGATAATGGTGATGAGTATTTGGAAAAGTTGGAAGAGAAAGTAAACAAGGCTTCAGCTACAGCACAGTTTACCATAAATACTTGCATACAGGTTTGTCTTACATTAGAAGCATCCCTTTCCCCCTCCCCACATATATTATGTCACTATATAGTAGATCAGCTTCACTATTACTGGCTTGAGTAACACAGTGAGTAGCCAGTGTCTTTGGGTATGTGTAGGTATATCCCTAGGGAAAAAATGCTTTAAAATTAAGGCTAAAAATCAGTAAACCTATTGCAAATGAAAAACTGTAAGGATTATTAAGTTAAATAGTGTTATATAAAATTAAATAGACCAGACTCATAGAAAATACCTTCAAAGCCTCTATAATTATATACTTACATAAAAGTTCCTCTAAATTTTACACTAGTTTTTGGTATTATACCCATTTTAAATGTTCTTAATATTTTAATATTAAATATGTGAATCTTCTGTTATGGTAGCTCACTTTTCATTTAGGAAATTCATAGCAATAATTTTGGTTAATTTGATTCAGGATGATGACGACGACGATGATGATGAGGAAGGTCTGGATGAAGAAATGGATGAAACTGCATTAGAATCCTTCACAACTCCATTGGACAAAGATGACTGTGAAATAGATGAATACTGGGTTTTCAAAGAAGTCATGCAGAGTTAGTTGACATCCATTCTTAAGCATAAGTTTTCTCCTCGATATTGTATATACAGGGGTACTTCGGTTTAAGAATTTAATCCGTTCCTGGAGACTGTTCGTAAACCGAAGCGAATTTCCCCATAAGAAATAATGGGAAATGAATCAATCCATTCCTGGCTCCCCAAAAAAGTTAATTTTATATCTATTTCACCCAAATCTACACTACAAAAGTATGTTTAAGTTATTACTTACCCTTGCTGTTGACTCCTGTTGGCATATGGAAGGTGGTGAGTTGGTGGAGAAGAGGAGAGGTGTTACTGTTTGGAAGGGGAGTCCCCCTTCCATTATAATGTCAGGCAGTGAAGATTTTTCTGGAGTGCACTCTGGCACATTTTGCTTGCATACCACTAGGTCCTTGTTGTGGTTCACTGCTTGATTTTCTCACTTTTGCTCTCACAAGTTGTGTCTGCAAGCTCTTTGAGCGTATGGTAAATGTCTGCCTGATGTGGTTCTTGGAACACCATCACCACCTCTCCTTCTCAGTTTGGTTTTCACAAGTGCCACAGCACAACAGATGTCCTGGTGAACTTGGAGGTCTATATTCGTACTGCTTTTGCTGTGAAGACCTCCGTTGTTGCTGTCCTTTTTGACCTGGAAAAGGCTTATGACACGACTTGGAGATACCATATTCTGTCCCAACTTTGTTCTTTTGGCCTTCGTGGTAATCTCCCTCTTCCTTCAAAGCTTTCTCTCTCTCTCGTCGTACCTTTCAGGTCAGACTTGGTACCACTCTCTGCCTCTTTTCGGCAGTATGAAGGTGTACCCCAAGGTAGTGTTCTGAGTACTATTTTTCTGGTTGCCCTCAATGGTCTTCTTTCCTCCCTTCCTTCTGGCATCTTCGCTCTTTATGTTGACAATCTTACTCTTTGCTGTTGGGGTGATGATTCACCTCTCCTTCAACGGCGGCTTCAACTTGTGATTGATGCCGTGTCATCTTGGGCCACCAATCATAGCTTCAAGTTCTCTACTACTAAGACTTGTGCCTTGACTTTTACTCGGAAGCGAGTCGTTTTTCGTCCCTCTGTCACTTTATGGTCGTCCCCTTGAATACAATGATTCCGCAAAGCGCTTGGGGTTATTCTTTGACACTCGTTTGTCTTGGTTGCCCATATCTCTTACCTCCGTGTTGAATGCTCTAAGGCCCTTAGCCTACTTAAGGTTTTGTTCCATACTTCTTGGGGAGCGGATAGCGCTCCTCTATTTGCATTCCTCCCTCGTCCTGTCTAAACTTGATTATGGTTGCCCTGCATACTCTTCTGCTTCTCCTTCTACTCTTCGCCGTCTTGTTCCTTTGCACCATATTGGGTTGCGCCTCGGCTCTGGTGCTTTTCGTTCAACTCCTGCCCTCAGCTTGTATGCTGACACTGGCTTCCTGTCTCTCCAGGACCGCCGTGATCGCTACAGTCTTCATTATGTTTCGCGATCCTTCCAACTTCCTCACTCGCTTGTATCGTGCTTTGACTTTTACCCCTCGTGTAGTTCATGTTCCTCTTCACCTCCCTCTTTCTGTCTGTTTGACTCGCTTACAAGATTCTCTTTCGCTTCATATTACCAATGTTTCTCCTCGTATTGTTCCATCCCTACCCCGTGGAGGTCCCTCTTCCCAAATTTTGTACTTCTCTGACCGGCATTACTAAAGCTTTTACCCCTCCTACAGTTCTGAAACGCCTTTTCCTTGAGCACTCTTCTTCTCACTCCCACTCCATTCCCATCTTCACCGATGGGTCTAAGTCTGCTGACGGTGTGGGCTACTCTGTTGTTTTTCCTAGCCACACTTATATGTGTCGCCTTCCTCTGGAGGCTAGCATCTTCACAGCAGAACTTTATGCTATTCTCTATGCTCATCGTCTCCTGCTTTCCCGGTGTCAGTCCTCCTTCGTGGTGGTAGTTGACTCTCGTAGTGCCCTCATGGCTTTAAAGTCCTTTAATCCGGTCCACCCGGTGGTCATCGAGATTCAACATCGGCTGTTTCTTCTCTCCAGTAAATTTAAGTCGGTTGAGTTTTGCTGGGTTCCCAGCCATATTGGTGTCTTTAAATGAGCGTGTGGATGCTGCCGCTAATGACGCTATCCGCACTTGTCCCATCTCACGTAAAGGTATTCCTTATTCCGATTTTTACCCAGTTATTCATGCCTCCATCTTTGCTCGCTGGCAGAGTTGTTGGTCTTCTGTTATCGGTAACAAACTGCGTACTCTTAAGAGTCGTGTGTCCCAGTGGCCTTCCTCCTGCCACCCTAACTGGCATTGGGAAACGGCTCTGGCTAGGTTACGTATTGGCTATACCCATTTGACTCACGGTCACTTGGAGCGCCGCCCTGCTCCTTATTGTCCAAATTGCATTGTTCCTCTTATGGTTGTGCATATCCTTGTTGAATGTTCTGACATCTAGGATGAGCGTGTGTCTTGTTTTCCGACCGTCCCCCGCGGTCACTTGTCCCTCGATAGAATTCTTGGTGACTCGGATACTTTTGATATCGTTCGCCTTGTGTTTTTCTGTTCTCGTATTGGCATCCTTGTTAATATTTAGCGCCCTCTGATTACCCCGCACATTTGATGGTGCTACATAGCCTTCCCGGTTTGGTGCCTTCTATTGATAATTACTTGCTTATATATCAGTTTATGAGGAGTATGTTAATTTTACTCATTGCACTGTTCTTATTTAGTGACGTGAGTGTATCGAAGCATGTTAGCCCTCTGATTTGATAAGTCTGCCTAATTCCATTTTTATCATATCTACTTTGGTGAATGTTTAAGATACTTCAAATGTTGGTTAGATTCTGTAAAGATAAGGATGGCTAGTAATTTAGAACTTAGGAGATAATTAGTGGGAAAAATTGAAAGCTGGAGGCTTCTAAGCATTTGCAAATAAATATTATATTGATAAAACTATACTGATTTAATTGAAGATATTTTTGGGTCTTTAAAATAATATTTTCAGACAATGGGAAGAAGACTTAAGTATCATAGTGTGCTTTGTCATATTATCTTAGTGTAAATACCAATTTTTCATCAGGTCTAGAGAGCACTGCCCCAGTATGGTATCAAGCATTGACAGGAAGTCTTAATGCAGATCAGCGGAAAATAATGCTGGAAGTGGCAACACTAGCAGACCAGAGGCATGCTGCAGCTCAGAGCAAGAAGATTCAGCAAAGTGGAGGCAAGTGTATATGACTTTAAATGTTCTTGTTTTCTCTTAATATGCAAACCTGATGCCCAGCAGGTGCCGACTTCCATTTCTGTCCACATTTTTTGGTGTTCCATCTTTTTATTATGTATTGTACAAAAATTCCTTTTATCTTAGGTTATACAGTTTGTACAAATATTCCTCTAGAATATACCAGTACAATAGAGTGGACCCCAACTATAATGCAAGTTAAGTTCTTGGGAAATGGCATGTTATCTAAAAATACACTACTAATCTGAAGGACACAGAAAATAGGGTAAAGTTCCTATTAATGGCAAACTTCATCACAGGCATACTTTACCAGGTTTTAAATTGTGGGAGGGGGGGTCTTACCTATCAGTGACTGGAAGATAGGGCCCCCCATTGTCACTTCAGTATTTTTCTCTCTAGGTATACACAATTTTCAGGAACATGATTCCCTCTGCCTTTGCCCATCACATACCTTACGTCTAGTGAGTTCACTTGGTTGCTTTTATGTACAATTTCATCAGCTTCCTAGGGCACCTAACAGCTGCGTGGACAGCGCTTCGGATTCGTGGTCATGAGGTTCCGGGTTCGATCCCTGGTGAAGGCGGAAACAAATGGGCAGAGTTTCTTTCACCCTGATGCTAATTTTATCTAGCGGTAAATATAGGTACCTGGGAGTTGGACTGCTTCCTGGGTGTGTGTAACAAAAAGGAGGCCTGGTCAAGGACCAGGCCGCAGGGATGCTAAGCCCTAAAATCATCACAAGATAACCTCGAAAGGTAATTTTCCCTGTTCACCACAGGGTTGTTAGGAAATAAGAAGCGCGGAGCCCGACGGTTAAATTTACGATGATTTCTTAATGAAATCTTACAATACTCTCTGCCAGCCTGTTTTGAAAACCACTTATATTATTTTCTTCACTAAAGCCAACAAAATCGATCTTTTTGTATTGTATTCATCTATGTTGGTAACCATGTTTATTATTTTGGCTATCAATTTGATCCTACCCCTGACACAAAACTTCTATTCCATTATTTCCCTAAAAAAAAACTTGAATATTTTCAGCAATTTATATGGCCCCTATGGCCTGCTGTTCAACACTACTGAAATGATTCTTCCTCCCACACTTCTGACAGATGGTGATGGTAACTTTTTTCAATTATATATTTCACTCTTTCAATTATTTATTTTATCATGGTTGATCTTCAAATCCTCTTTGCATTCTTGTTTCCTGAGACCAGGCTGGGCTCAGGGAGTACAAGAACTCCCAGAACCCTCTCCTGGTATACTTGCATATTCATCAAACTGTTCTTTAATACGTAAGACTAGTTTTATCCTGGAGCTCCTACTGGTACAGGTGGGCGCTTTCATTTTGTATATTCCCCTTATATTTCCTCTAGTGCCACAATGTGGCACTAGAGGCAGTGCTCAAGGTCACAACTGCCTCGAGTCAGCTACAATGCATTATGGTCTCTGTTTGTGGTAAGTAGTAATTGTGTGCTTGAACCTCCAAAGAACCTCTGTTCATCTTCCAAGAAATTGATAAAATTTAAAGTTGTTTAATTTAAAATTAATGATAGGCAGTGGCGATCGAGTCTTTCATCTCACAGAGATGAAATATTGTGTTCACTATTTTTGTTAGTGATATAACATACTCTTAGGGAAGACATGATCATCAGCTACAGAATTCTCAGGAATTGACAGGGTGGACAAAGACAAACTATTTTGCATGAGTGGAACAAGTGGTCACAGGTGGAAACTTGTTTTAATAATTTATCATTTGACTTATTTTTACAAAGCTGATGAAGATTGTCATCCTCTGCTGTGCTTGTATTGTATTAAGTATATTATAATACTGTTCATGAATTCAATTGAAGTTGAAGATCGCAATAAAAATAATAAGTACCTGTACTTCAAAACTGAAGCTGGCCACATGAGGCCACAGTAAACAACCAGGACACTTCGTATGACATGGCATGTACGTGTCCACCCCCCACACACACCCCCCCCACACACCCCCCCCCCCCCCCCTTCCCTTCCAACCCACCACACCCCCATCCTGGAAACAAAAAAAAAAACCTCATATACTATAAAAGGTATTTACAAATGACAAATTTTATAAATTATTTCCTAATATTTTCTTAATTGTAATTTGCTTGTGCAGATGTCACAATAACATGGCTGAAGAATGTTGACCAAATCACATTTTGCAATTTGCATATCATTACAAAACTATAATTTTTCCTAAATATGTAAAAGATTTGAAGAAGTTGATGCAACTCTATAATTTTTTAAATATTAAAGATTTAGTTGATGACTCTTTGACAATCGAGGTTGTTGGCTGCTTGCCATGTGTGGTTGCGCCAATGCCAAAACGAACTTGGTACTGGCCAACTGTTTTAATGACTGCCAGATCGGTATATGAGGCTTGCGTTACTGGTCTCCAAACCAAAGTTAGAACCAGCAGAATACCAAGATGTTCTTATTATCGAGTAGTTACTATAAACATACGCACACACATGCATGCATATTTATTATCTTTTAAAGTAACTTGCAAATTCAGAGCATACATGTAATAACCCCTCTTTTTTTATTATTATTATTATTATTATTATTATTATTTTATTATATCCTACACGAGTTCATCTGAAGTTTGACTCACTCGCCCCATTCTTAAATAGTTTAAATTGTTAAAACTTGGAACATGCCCATTTTCAAATCCTGCCACGGCCCCGTGCATCTCGACTGTTTTATTATAGGTCCGTTAGTCTCTTTAGAACTTCTCAAATTTGCACAAAGCCAATGTTATGCTGCTTTTAGGTTTTGATGAATTGACATTTTTTAATTTATTAAATTAAATGTTATGCAATTGGTTTATTTGGAGCCATCTGGCCTAGAATTTTTTCTTCCAATCTGGTGACATGAACGGCATCCACATTTTAAAATATTTGTTAAAAATTTAAATTTCATCCTATCAATCTGGGAGTGGTTTTAAAATGAGCGCCTTTAGATCGCGCACAATGTGAAATGTTAAAATTCCATTTATTGCTCTTATTATTATGGGACTAGCTTTAAAATACGCGCCAATATTCGTTTTGCGCCTACGCACAATACAAATATTGATGTTATCAAACTGAGCGAGTATACACGTTAGGTTGCGGTGTGCTAATTGGTGCTCGTTCACGAGTAACTTTAGGCTTTGCTAAGGAGAGTCACTCCGGGCTTTTGGACAATATATGCATATACACCTGCAGGGAATTTAATTGCGAACACAAAGATACCAAAACGAACGACATAGCACGAGAATTAAGGTGAGAAAACTGAAACGAGTATACACATTTCAGTGTTGCACACTCGCCCAGCACCGCCTGGGGCAAGACGTCAGATTTGCAGGGCACACGCCCACAGTGCAATAGTGTTAATTGAACAAATTAGGTCAACACAACAATAACTAACTACCATTACTGTAATTATAGTGTCACAGAACACAACCACGGATTGAAAAAAATAAACTGTGGAAGCGGGAAATAGTTTTCAGCACTTGTGCTCCTCTCGAAGTGATGAGTACTGCTTGGTTATGGCTCTGCCCTAAATGGAGCTAAAGTGCTAAATATATTTTTTCATTACATTTACTACACACACATTTCACTTCACATATTTTTCAAATTTACTATTTTTGCACTTCAGGGTCATGTGCTTAATGCTATTGCAGAATATGTTAGTGTCATTAAATATTACAATTTTTGGCAGAGATGTGTAGTGTTAATAAAAAAACACTGGCTATTGGGCAAAACAGGCATAGCCATCTTGATCTACTAGTGTAGGTCTTGCTTTTAATTATAAGATTTAGATATATAATTTTATATATATGTAGTATGTGTAATGGGGGGGGGGGGGGTTATAGGTCATTATCTTGATTGTGCTTTGAATAGTATATTGTAGTCTTTCTGTATATATATACTGTATATATATAAGTTTCCCTTAAGCATCAGAACAATTATTCATAATTAATTTCTGTGGCAGCAGTCTTGGTGGGGATGTCTGGCAGTTCCTTGGATGCACACCCCATGGTAATCTGATACCTCCACCTTCCCCTTCCCTTCCTCCCACATTCCCTGCACCTCTCTTGCTCCCTCTTTAACCTCCCCTACCTCCATCACCACTATCACTCCACATGCACACATCATTGTGTACTCATTAAACCACCCTGTTGGTATCCTTATCGTACCATGTTGCTGCCATCACTGCCACCACCACGCCACCAACCCCCTGTTTGTATCGTGAGATATGTCAGCCTGGGATACATTTCTCACTCATCCTTATGCCATCGAACCATACCTAGTTTAAAGTATGTCCATGTATTACTTTATGGGAATTCAGACCTAATCTACAACTTCTGGTGAGTGGAATGTATCATCTTTGTTCTTTGTGCATGTTATCTTGTTAATTGGCTTTCATGTTTTCACATTTAATTTCCCCCCCCCCCCCCCCCCTGTTAGACCCTGGGAGTGAGACTCCCATTCACACAATATCACTTACACACATACTTCCAATTTATAAAGGAGTTTACTAAATTAGGATTTCTTGGTATGATGGCTTAAGATTTCCTTTCATTTTTTCCAGGTTATAATTTTCAACAAACTGCAGTTCCTTCAAGCTTCAACTTCGGTGGATCTTTTGGCTCTTAATGCAAGTGCTCCAAACAGCTTAAGCTGTTTGTTTATTTTATTTTATTTTTATTTTTTAGTGCCTTAAACATATGTTGCAGGCATGACCGAAGAGTCGTATATTTGGACAATGCATCATGATATGTCGTTTTATTCAGTGATGTAACTCCATACCTCACCACCTTGTGCAGGTGCTGCAGTATAGGATGAAAATTTGTCTTGTATAAAGCTCTTTAAGTGTGCACATGTTTCCTTAATACTGACAATAGCCTGCCATTAATCCCTGCCCCTCCCTTGTCAAGCTCCTGAATGATATCACTTATACACTATCCAAATTTTGTCTTCCTTTATATTTTTCTGTATTTTTAGTAGTATTGTTGATTATATTTCCCCTCTATCACTACCACTTGCAGGGATGTGCCTGGGTTACTGCTTTGTAAAAGTTGTTTAAAAAATTGTTATATACAGGGTCATAGGAATAACCTCTGATTTAAAGTGTTTTCATTTCTCAATGCAACAACCCAGAACATCCTCTGGTATTTTTGTCCCCCCTCCCCTTGGCTTTGTTGTCCATATCTGCTGTCCCTAAACTGGAGCACAGGAATGATCTATGTACAAAAGAGTAGCCCTGCCTCTTGGAGCTGACCACCATCTGATGTTGGTGTTCGGCCAGCTGAGCCACACCATCCAACATGCTGCCTCGAGCTATTAGCATGTGGATGGTGTTGCTCAGTCTAGAAGAAGAGACCTATAAAAAATACAGTTAGTTCTGTAGGTCGGTGGGGAGCGAGGTGGTCCGGGCTGCTCTCCACAATAATCCCTGGAGTGGATTTAGATGATCCTCTCCATCTGTTGAGTTTTATTATGTACCCTCCAGGATATATCTAACTTAATGAGTTTCTTTATTTTTTGTGTAATATTGTACTCTTTAGTAGGTCTGGGTTTAAATATTCACCTTTTACTATTACTCATTACTGTGATTTTTGTGATTGTATGAGCCATTTTACATCTATCACCAATATTATTAAACATTTGTTGAACTAAGCATTATAAAGAACATTCTCTCCCTAAATCTAGAGTGTTGGTAAGACACTGCTGCACTGTTGATGCAGTGTTGACTTTCTATTAAACGGGTAACTGGCGTGCTGTTGAAGACTGCTACGAATATACTTTGTTTTGCCATTTCTAGTGCAATATTTTTTTTTTTTTTTTTTTTTTTTTTTTTTTTTATACAAGAGAATGCTCCTGCCAGTTCACCCTCTACCTGTTACTTAATGCAATCAAACTTTGCCTTTTAAGATATTAAATACGGCTTGGTTAACAAGTCCCGTTATCATTTCGTTGACGGTATTGTGTGATGGGATGGTAAGTTCTGGTGGTTTTAAAGTTGATTAGTTTTGTACATAAACCTTTGGCCTGTGATGTTGGCATTGTAGAATTGTCTTACTTCCAATGTAGTAATTGCAAGATTAGAGCAAATGAACAGAATGCCAGACACGAGCTTTTCTAGTAAAATTACTATGCACCGTCGGATGCCTCAAATTGTTGATAATATTCGAATTTGCATCGGTGCTGGTGAAATGGTGTTAGCATATTCTTCTGTAACCAGAATAGTTTTCATGCAACAGTGATTGGAGTATATTTCATATGAATGGTTAAAATATCATGTATTAGATGTTGATCTTAAAGGCATGTGTGTGTGTGTTTTGCCACTGTTTCTGCAATATTTGTGGGAAAGTTGGTCATGGATTGGTTTAACATAAAGCACAGGTAGGAGAAAACCTCGTCTGTCAAATATATTAAATGTTAACTGCCTTTGTATTTTTTTTTTTTTTTTTTTTTTTTTTTTTGTTAAATATAATTAGCCACTGGACAGTTTTCTCCTGGTGATTAAGTGGCTCAGGAAAATTGTGTTGCAGCTACATGGTCTTGTTTTGTTGTAAGGATCATCCCTGTTTCACTATGGAGGTGCACACAATGTATGCTGCCTCCACACTATCTAGTCCACTCACTCTGAAACCATATTTGTTGAGCTTCTTTATTATGGCTTATTTTGTGTGTATATGTATATGTATATATATATATATATACCAAGGGTGTTCTGTGTTTCTTTTGAAAGGGAAAAGTAAATTCAAATAATTGTTTATGCGATGGTAAAGTTTAAAATAAAACCTCCCTTTCAAGTCTGCACGGGTGATTTTTGGGGAATCTTGGCACAACTTGTGTGTCCTGTACAGTAACTTAATAGGAGCTCATAAATTGTGCAGTCTTGCATTGTGCAGACTGTGCCGACTATTGATATTTTTGAAGGCCATCTGTGATAATCTTTCTTGGATTGTATTCAACTAGATATTAATAAATTTATATTTTGGACACAAGTTAAGATACATTCACTTTATAAAATGGTGAGATTCTTAACTGTTCTTTGCAAGAGAAAATGAGCATAGATGAAGTGTAGCTTTTATTACAATTGTTGTTTTGCCAATAGAAATGCTCCAACAAATCATTTGAGACTAATTACGCTACATGTATGTTCAGTTCACACAGCACGTTCACATAGGTGTCCATCTGGACCCACAGACATGGTGTTCGAAGTTTTGCTCATTGTATTGTATACCTGCACTATCCGATGTGCTTTGTTCATATAGTGTTGACATACTCTCCTGTTTATGTTGCTCATGTGGTTTTGTCACACTGCCCAGTGTGTTGGTGTTGTAGCATTGTCATACTGTCCAGTGCACATTCCCATTTGGAAGTGTCACAGTGGCCTTGGCCTGCAGTAGCTTCAGCTATGGGCCTTGTAAATACAATGGTTATTGTAAGTAGAAAGAGAGATTTATATTTTTATACAAGACGCCACCCCTGCGGAGACAACTAGCGTTGCTAGTCGCCGCATTGACCTCCATTAGCTGTTGCTATGGGTCAGTGACGTCCCTGCCTCGTTTGGTTGGTCTTCGATGCTCAGTACTTCCAGCACATTAGGGTTACACGGGGATCATTAACGTATATCATGTACATACATAGGCCTTCATCATCATAGATTGCTACCATTCATTATTATATAATAGGTATGTCTGTGGATCTTTGTAAAAAAAAAAATAAATATTCACCTGTGTGGTTCTTTGAATTATCTCTTTTTTTTTTCACTGTATGAGAACAACAGTTTTGTATCTAAACTTTGCTCTTATTACAAGTAGTAAATGGGCATTCTTAAGTTTTAACACATTTTCTCTTGGTCTAACTGTGGAAAAATTAGTCCCTACCTCTTTAAAAAGTTGGCATTTGCAGAATTGCATTCAGCCTTTGTTTTAAGATCCCTGTAATGCATGTACCATAGATGCATGTGTGTGATTATAGGGAGATAGTGTGTGTGTGTACTGAAAGCAGAGAGATGACTAGCCATCATGGCGGGGCGTGGCAGCCCTCATGGACACGCGACTATATTAGCGCTGCTACGGGTCGCATTATTTATTTTGTTATTCTCCACTCGTAGGATATTGACCACTCATCATTGTCGCTTGCTTACTTGTCATATCTACCATTATGTGGCGACCTTAACGATTATATGATTTTGTTACTGTCGCCACACTCTTGATGTCTTTATTTCATCTTGTAATGATCATCGTCATTGGCACCTCCACCATCTCATTGTAATTTTTTTTTCATGGTCTTGTTGCAGACACTGTAAGAATCAGTCATGTTGCTTTAATAAAATTAAAAGCGAAAGTTAATTTTGTATTTTGTTTATCCTCCAGTGTTAGGGAATCTTTGGTCTCTTTTGAAATCTTAAGTTTAAAGTTAAAAAGCTCAACTGGCAGAGATGTTTTTTGCAATTGTATAAATATATATATATTTGTTTTCCCCACTAACATAATATAAACAATTGTTGACATGAACTTAGAAATGAGTGATGTATATAATGGAGTAGTAGGGCTATGGGATGAAGGTGGTGGGCAGGAAGACTGCCCCTTTGCTGGATATTTGTAGTTGTGAAGAAACTCCTCGCACAGCTTACTCAAGTTAGAACTGTTTCATTAGCTGTGTTTTGTGATTGTAATCTGGCATAACCCCAGAATGTGTAGTATATTGAAGGTATTTAAATTTGTGTAATCTCATGGTATGGTTAGTTAAAATAATTTAGATTGCCTTGTCCTAATTTTTATATATATTTTGCCAATATCTGTCTCACCCCACGAAAGATAAACTACATTTTTTTCCTAAATATATAGATTCCAAATTATTAGCTAAATGTTTCTCATGACGAATTTGTTTGATTTAGACTGCTATATATGGCCAGCCATGATAAGTAGATTGAGTTTGCTGAATGGGCGATTCCTTTCAGACAAAAGTATATTATTGGTTTGTGAATTATTTGAAATGTGGGTGTGGACGTTACTAGAATGACAACAGTTGCAAGAAATTTGAACTTAATGAATATATTTCTTTAAAGCTGAAAGATATAGTGAAATTCTGCAAAGTATTTTGTATTGCTTTTGACCTTGAGAGAATTCCGGGAGTAGTTCTATACCTCAAGGCCGGTCTGGGGCCAGGCTTTAACTTTGGATAATTGGGTCCAACACATAGCTGCTTGGAGCGGTCCGCATGGCTAAAGAGTACATATCCACTACAACCATCCCCGTTGGTCCGGCACTAATTACAGGAACTTTTTTAATTGCATGTTGTTCATCTTTGTTCCGGCAATATTTTTTTACACATGCTGGGAGAGTATTGAACAACCTGGCCCTCGGGAAGATGATTGGGTGCTTTTGATTTTGAAATAACTAATGATTGATTTTGAAATAACTAATCAACCTGGTAATCTAGGGATACACCATCAGCCTCGCATTGTTCTAGGTCTCACTGTACCGTGATGGTGATGGGTGGACACTTCTGCTGTGTTCTAGAAGTCTTGTTACAAATCGTCGGTTGAGGCAGGCCGAGAGTTCGCAAAGTACCATAGGTCTTGTATATACAAGGAGCAGCCTAGTTAACACAGGTCTGGGGCCAAGACTTTTCCTCAGATGCCCAGTTGAGCAGACGCCATTGTGCAAGGACACTTCAGCCACATTTTCTAAGGAGAGTCCCAGCCTAGGATGACTGATAATGCTGGAGTAAGACGTGCAGTGAAGTTGTATAAAGGCAAGTGGGGGGGGAGGGGACCTTCGACAAGCCGCCGGCTTCCTGTCTTCGTCGAGGCTACTAGAGTTAGTGGCCCTCTGGTAAATCAGGTATGCAAGCACAATAGTATTGAACCGCCTGGTCCTCTGGAAGATGATTGGGTGCTTGCTTCTTGAAGTAACTAATCATTGACGTTGATTGACGGTCGAGAGGCGGGACCAAAGAGCCAGAGCTCAAACCCCGCAAACACAACTAGTTGAGTACAAGCCTGACTTTGGTTACCCAGTGAGGCAGGCAATAGAGCAGTCTGGTGCCTACTGCATCTGGGAAACATTGGTGTGAGCAGTGAAAAGTTACGATTTATTTCTCCTGACATTAGGAATTTTTAATTGGGCAGTGTAGTAGCCCAAGTGAGGAGAGACAATTATAGTGATTTATAGAATGGTAGCCCTCTGGTAGGAGCCACTGGTATCCAGCTACGAGTGTTTAATTGTGGTCTCTTGGTGAGAACCACTCGGTATTGCACTCAGTCCAATGTCCAATTGACTTGCACTATAAACTACTCACTCCTGGTTCAACCTTAACGCCGAGCGGACGTCTGGATACCTCCGCCTGGGAGCCGCCGGCTCATGTCCTGTTTTCGCGTTTTGGCTTTGCTACTGCCGTTTGGCATCCCTCTTATAACGGTCCGATTGTACGACGCCTGGCGCACATGTCGCCTTGGGTCACGGGATTGCTGGTAGATTTTTTTTGGCGGCGTGTTCTGGCTGGTTCTCCCGGCGGTGTGACTGTGTCCGGCGCCGGCTTGGCCGAGAGGTGCCGGGGGGGTTGGTGGGTCTTGGTGGGCTCCTGGTGTGCCCTCAGCCGTGGTGGGCGGCCGGCTTCTGCTCTGCCGGGGAACACTGGATGACTTTTTGCGTTATAGTTGGGGGCAGAGTTTTGGTTTTGCTACCCGGTGTTCTCTGTGTGGGGCGGGGCCGGTGCTTGTCGCCCTGAGGGACTCCTGGGGACTCCTGGGGCTCCCCATTCATCTGTCTGACTGTGCGTTTATTTGCCGTATGGCATATTAGTTTCTAGTGATTGGCGTCACTCGTTTCGCGTTTTGGCTTGGCGTTTCACCTTTCCAGGCTTCGCGATTAACCCTTCACGGGTACGCCGGGGCGAATCCGATCCCTGGATCGTCGTCGCCCCTATATCAACAACAACTATAAACTACTCTGACGAGGCACCTGGGTGTCTCATTATTGCGCACCTGCAGTCACCGGTAGGTAGTGTGGATTATACCAAGCCTGCAGTGACCATCCACACCAGTGAGTGGAACAGTGATGGACACCATCATCAAGCATCAGTGGTGTGTGGGAGTGACGAAAGTTTGCCCTCCTGACCGTCCTACATCAGGTAGGGAACTAGTTTAACATTGTATAGGTCATAAAATAGGAAATTCATCCATTTTCATAGCGTTTCTGCCCGAATCGCTATGCTTGCTAGTGGCTTTACAAAGATGTAAAATCAATGTTATGTACTCTCATAAACCCAATGTACCTTCGTGTTTATATATATAAATAAATGAATAAATAAAAGGTTCAATCAAAGAGACATTATAAGCTTCAAAGACATTCGAAATATTAGTCTGCCCTCCGAGAAACTCGTAGGTCAACGTTCTCTTTTTCGTTTGTCTAGCTAACGTCAGCAAAACTTTTAATTCTTCCTCTAGGAAGGTTAGGGACTACATTTAAGTTCAGCTCCCTTACTCTTTTTTTTAACCAATTAACTCTTATCCTACGCCTATTCTTGTGGACCTCCCTCGAACCCTAGACCAATCCGCTTTCACACAGCTCCTCGACTTTTAGGCCAAGACCCGGCTTTTACTTTTAGAGGGATTTAGACTAGATTAGGTTTAAAATAGGTTAAGTTCAGGTTATTTAAATTCAACGCTTATTAAAGTGGAAATTCCCCTAAACACACTGCGAATGCAACACCATTAGTAATTGTTCATATTCACTACAGGGCTGATATAGCAACATCAGAGGAAGTTGCTAATCTGCATAATGTTATTAGGGCGGCATCAGAAACCCAAACCTTTATATTACAGGGAACTTCAACCACGAGATAATAGATTGGGTAAATTTAACATCACAAGCAGAAGAACAATTTCTGACCTGGTACAAGAATCCTTTCTCCCACAGCATGTGGCAGAGCTCACTCGAGGGTACAACATTCTAGAGCTTGTGCTAACATCAGAAGAGAGCATGATCAATCATATTTATGTTGAGGAAAATCTCGTGTGCGGGGCAAGTAGCACGGAAGTAGCTGTTGTTGTTGTTGTAGATTACAAACAAATACAAATATTTATTTAGGTACAGTATATACATACAAGGTGAGATACAAAACGTTGATGGATTTATAGATAGAGCTAGTACATACAATGCCTAAAGCCACTATTACGCAAAGCGTTTCGGGCATGAACCAAACTGCGTTATTATATACTGGAATGTGACAAAGTCCATGAATTCTGAGATACTGTAACACCATCAATGGTGTCCAAGAAATGTGTAAGTACTTTATTCATAATGATGTACTGAAAGGAATCTTAGCGAGGTATCCACAATTTACTTACTGTAGGTAATGCTGCACATGACTGTAAAGCTGCCGCCCAGTTGGGTGAGTGTGGAGCACATGACTGTAAAGCTGCCGCCCAGTTGGGTGGGTGTGGAGCACATGACTGTAAAGCTGCCGCCCAGTTGGGCGGGTGTGGAGCACATAACTGTAAAGCTGCCGCCCAGTTGGGTGAGTGTGGAGCACATGACTGTAAAGCTGCCGCCCAGTTGGGTGGGTGTGGAGCACATGACTGTAAAGCTGCCGCCCAGTTGGGTGGGTGTGGAGCAAGACTAGTACCCAGCAAACATTTTCATGTTTTTAAAACATCCTAAAAACGACATTTCATTGTTTTCAGCACGTTTATAATTACGTTTAGAAAAGGTTTTTTGAGAACTTTTATATACGACCTTAGAACGTAAATAATTAACATTTCTAAAAACTTTTTTATAATCTTTTAATTACCTACATTAAAACGTTTAGGGTAAATTAGGGTATAATAATTTTTTAATTCATATCTGAAATAGAAAGGGAGAGAAAGAAAGAAGACATATCTGAGAAAGAAATGGACATCCTATATATGTATGTGCAAATTACAAATAAATAGGGTACAAAAAGAGAATTAAAATATTATATTTATTTAATTAAGAATGAGTAATACAACAAAATATATGTAATAGCTCGAAATATATAGACTATATCTATAACAGAATATAAAAGTAAAAATTTAAAAATCTATAAAAATCTATATATGCAATATGTGAACACAATAGATTTTGTGATCAAGCAGCCTGTGATTCATGTCATGCTGAGATCAGTCTGACGTTACAAGCAGTTATTGTTACTTAAAACTAAAACAAGTAAAATTTTCCGAGTATACATATAACACTATAGTTTTTCTATGACTAATAATAAAAATCTATTAATCAAAAGTTTAGGACTAATTAACTAAAAATAAAAATCTACAAGTGAATGTAAACAGTCAAGTATAATATTCATGTAGAAAGAGAAAGAAAAAGAGAGAGAAGGAAAGAAAGAGAAAGAAAGAAAGGGAGAAAGAGAGAGAAAGAAAAGAAAAAAGTCATGTATAATATTCATATTAGCACCATGCAATATAACTTAGATTAAGTAAAAATCTCAGACATTTTTAAATCAAATGAAATATGAGAGCCAGAGAGAGAGCGAGAGCCAGAGAGAGAGCGTGAGCCAGAGAGAGAGAGAGTCAGAGCCAGAGAGAGAGAGTCACACAGTTATAACTGTGTGACTCACCATAGATGTAAAGTGCCTTGTATAGTGACTCACCATAGATGTAAAGTGCCTTGTATAGTGACTCACCATAGATGTAAAGTGCCTTGTATAGTGACTCACCATAGATGTAAAGTGCCTTGTATAGTGACTCACCATAGATGTAAAGTGCCTTGTATAGTGACTGTTGTGAGCCTCTTGTTGAATCACTTCTGATATTAAAAGATTATTGAAGTGTATATGTATTTGTGTAAATGATTGTATATATATATGTACATATATTTGTAACATTAATAATTGTGTAGCTAGCTTCAAAAGATTGTCATTTTATATATATGATATATGAGTTATATGACAGAGTGCTGGGAAGACGGGACACCACGAGCTAAGACGAGACACCATCTCATCCTGTAACTACACTTAGGTAATTACTTACTTAGCTAAACGAACTATGGGGTTCAGTTCGTGAACCGATTATGTACCTCTGTATCCCTTTCCATCAGCACCCACGGGATGGGTATGGGGCGCATAATAATGAAATTAAATGATAAAAATGCCTATATCAGACGTAAAACCAAAACAAAAGTCACGGTAGGACCCTTAACAGATAAGAATAACCAAGTTATAATTAACGATAAAAGGTGAGCCAACACTGAATGAATACTGTACATCAGTGTTCACACTGTATATAATAGACAGCATCATTACCCACAGAAATGTCTGAAGGAGTTGAAAAGAACGAATTAAGGGATATACACATAACAGGCGACATAATCAGAACAATCTAAAAGGTTCAAAAGCACCAGTTCTGGACGGAATTCAATCTAAAGTCGTAAAGGAACTGGCGAATGAGCTATGCCTACCATCGAAGTTTCCTTTCAGAAAATCTCTAGATTATGGAATAGTTCCCCTAGATCGGAAATACGTAAACGTCAGCCCGTATTTTGAAAAAAAGGCAGAAAAACTCAGCAAAAACCTACCGTCCGACCAGCTTGACATCACACAACTACAAGCTGATGGAGTGAATCCTAAGGGTAGGAATTATTCGCCATCTCATTGTGAACAATATTGAAAAATCAATGCAACAAGGGTTTGTTAAAAATTGATCCTGCCTTACAAACCTGCTCACATTTTTTGGAAATGATAACCAGCTATTCAGACAAAGGACTTCCAGTAGATGTAGTTTATATGGACTTTGCTAAAAAGCTTTCGGCAGGGTACCACATGAAAGACTACAGGTACATGAAATAAATGGTAGAATGCTAGAATGGACAAAACAATGATTAAAACAAAGACAACAAAGGGTCGTGATTTAAAAGACATGATATCGAATCAAAGAACTATATCTGGTTGTTACAAAACACGAAGCTGAGTAAAACAAAGCGTTATGCGTCTCTTGGTAATGATTGCTGGTAATTGTCTCTGGCACAAGTCTTTCGAAATTCCCGGCTTCAAGTACAGTCGACATATATCAAATGAGAAACATAACTTTAAACCTAAAAAAAATCATGTTTAAATATAAACCTAATAGTCTCTACAATCATATCATATATGTAAATAGTAGTAGTTGAATTTTAGTTATGTGGGCATGTTTAATAGTAACAATGTAGATTTTATGATTAATAATAACATGAGCTTTAATAATATGTCATGGCGGCGTTGTTAAAGGTTTGTTGTAGTACGGTAGTAGTCTCTTTATGTATATTTTCTCTTCACTTAATGAAGTAAAATATTGCAGATCCTCTTCATGGATGTATGAAGAGTCAAATATTATTAATCCTTTGAAGATAGAGCAATTTAAAGGCGGGAGGAGGTGTAATAAGGGCGAGAGTTGCATACGAGGGTTTGTTTACATCTCAGCAGGACTTTGTCACTGATCTGGGCTGACATCCAAGAATTTCTCTTTGTTGCTACGAGTCGCCTCTTATGTCGTGTTTTGTGGCGTAGTTAGTGTCTGGGTGTGGTGGGAGCCAGAGCGACCTGCTCACCTCAGAGTAGGGCAGTATAGGAGGGCAAGGGTGGGTGTTGGGGGGCCAGAGCTAAGTGCCTGGGGTGACGAGGCACAGTTTGTGGCACCTTAGTTCACTCTTCTCCTCATCTCGTGGCCCAAGTGCATCCTCGTGAAGTGGAGTGTGGAGTAGGCGTGCTCAGGCCTTAGCATGTCAGGCTACCAATAGGCGTGGTGGGAGAGTGTGTTGGGTAGTTGTGTTCATTTGATGTGTTACTGGGGTTGTGATTGGTTGTATTCCTGAAGTGGGCACAGCAATTGATGAGGTGGGACTAGTTTGAGCCCAATACCTTCATGAAGAACAGCTTCATTCTTGGCTGACAATTAAGGTTCCCAGGTTTGATTCTCAATTGAGAAAGAAAGAAAAATTGTTGGGCACATTTCTGTTTACCTAATTTCTATATTCATCTAGCAATAAATAGTTACTGTACCACACAGCTGTAGTGGGGTTGCATCCTGGGGAATGTCAGTACTTTGATTTTAAAGGACTTTGATACAAGCCTAATATATATATTATATATATACTGTGTATATACAGTACTGTATATATATTATAAGGCCACAGATATTTAATTATTTTGGTCTGGATTTTATTTATATTTGTGTCTATACAAGTCCATTAATTCTATAAAACTTTATTGAAGTAGATAATGTCAGTGACAGATCAACTTGAGTGGTGAATGACAGGTATTGACCATGGATCTTGTCAGTTTATATATTGATTGGGTTAGGCTGTTTGCAATGCAAAATATTTGTATCACTAGCTGGCGAACCAAATACAGTACAGTATATAGTTACCGGTATATAGTTATGAATTTAATTACCAAGTATCAGATCATATACCGTAGCTATATATCTACTTACACAACTACTTAACATGTGTAACACCTCGGTACTCATATAGAGAATCCATGGATGCCTTTTATCCTAGCGTGTCACTTTAAATTTTGTAATGGAACTGTGATTCATAGTAAAGTCTAGATGAATACAGTAGTTTTGGTGAGTTTGGCACTTGAATTATAGTTTTTCCTTTTTCTATGTTTTTGTTGGTGAATTTTTTGTTGGTGATTATGAACAACACATGTCAAACATGTTTCCCCACCAATATTCTCACCAACTGCATGGAAAATCCAAAATAAAGGGGGGATTTTTTTTTTTTTTTTGTGAGTAAATGCCTAAGTGAAGAGTGAATTTGTGTTGCCACATCAAATGTTTTCAAATTACGTTTCCAGTTTCCATTTGTGCAAAATCCCTACCTAGCTCTGCAAAGTTTTAATATACAATGCAAATATTAACCTTGTCATTTGATGGTAAATTTATGGCTTTGGCTAGACAGTGAATTACTCTGACGTTTTTGTATTGTATACAGGTAGAGCTCTGTATAATGACCGTATTGTTGAAAGACTGACATATGAGACTGGAGCATTTTTAGGAAATCGTGATGTTTTACTTGGCTTCCTGGTGATGGGTGAGATCCTGGTGGGCTCTCTTATACATCTGTGACCATGGACCACAAAATGGGTTCACATTATTGGCTTGATCATAATCTTCAGTTAATAAATACAATATTAAGGTTCAGTGTTATGCTATATTTATAGAAATAATATGAAATCAAGTAACTGGATTGGTGGGAGATGCACTATATAAATGCAACTCTAAAAATCTGAGGAAGTGGACTGACAATTTGGTGCTGTATATATGGTGCCTTATCAACTTTTGTGCATTTGTGTTGATGTGTTGATAGAAAAGTGGCAGTGGCAGCAGCAGCACTTCAAGCCATGGGGTCACTGTGGCAGGTTAGTGGTTGTAGAGCACAAAGGTAATGAGCACTAATTGGTCGTAATGTTTGACAGGCGTATTGAAGTATTTCCTAGATTGATACTACACATAGGAAATTTGCAGGTATCTAGATGGAAGGATTAGTATTGGTTTTCAATTGATTTGTCTAGGGTGGTAGCTTCAAGTAATATCTGGCCAGGTTCAAATTCTTCCACAAATAGAATTTTAAATGTTTGATTTAAACAAAATTTTATAACAAACATTTGTTAATTTATTCTTAAAACATATTTCTGTAAATTATTTTTGTTTTAATGTAATAAATTACTTACTTAAAACTATGGTTCCCTTTATCCATTAATATTTGGTTAATATTGTTTATTTTGTACATTTGGATGGATAGTTTGAAAGTTAGTGAGATGGTGGTATGAGGCAATTAGGTCATTGTAGGGGTTATTGCACTCTAGCCATATTAAGCCATTGTTGGTGTAATGTTGGGCTGTCAGGTAGTGATAATAGTACTCTGGTAGAGTATCAGGTCATGGAGTGGGTAGTACTGAGTTGTCTGGTCATTGTGTTGGTATTATTGGGCTGTAGGGTTATGAATTAAATAGTATTGGGCTGTTTGGTTACAATTTTAATGATTTAGGTGCTTTACTATAGTACTGTATATTTAATTTTGGTTCATATCTCATGTTATGGGCAGGGCATTACTGGGCAGTAGCATTGAGAATTAAATAGTGGAATATTAATTTTTCAATTTAACTGTCCAGGATAAAGGAACCGTCACCTTTGAGGAAAAATGGCCGGCAATGCGACCGACCGTGTTGAAGCTTTTAAGACAGGAGTGTGTGAGCCGTGCCGAGTGGCAGGATCTCTTTTGGGCTGTTCACAAAGTTTGCCTTTGGGATGAGAAGGGTCCTCCAAAGGTTCAGAAGGCTTTACAAGATGATATACTAGACTTCATCACTCATGCTCAGGCAGTATGCAAAGCTACAGTGTTTTGTAAATAATTAAGATAATGTAGTGTTTATTTTTTTACAGTGGTAATTTTGAAAAAGTATGTTTCAGTTGCATGTTATTAAATTATTTAGTATAATTTTAATGATAATATTGAAACAGTTAATCTGCATACTCTTGTTGTTATGAGTCATACATGGCAAGGCATATTAGCTGGGAACATTCTGATTAACAATGATGTTTTGGTGTTGGATAGCGTGTGCTGGACCAGCACGAGGACCAGGCACTTTTGAAGGCATATATCAGTGAATGGCGGAAATTCTTCCAACAATGCAACTACCTTCCGCTGCCTTTCAACCAGCTGGAGTCCGCTCTGGCAGGCAAGACAACTACCTCAGTCTCCAAGAAGGTTCAGAATGATGACTCAATAGTTAGAAAGGTGGGTTCTAGGAGCACCTGTCATGCATTTGCTTGTCACCATTCTTTGAGAATCTGTCTTGTGTTATCCCCAAATTAATAAAAAAAATTGTTTAAATTTTATCATTTAATATGGAAGCTATCCATCATAATTCAACATTCATGGTGTCCTGATCAAGTGGATAGCCCCTAAGTTTTTCTGAAACTGTCACTAGTGCCATATACTGTGAGTGGTATATCCTGCAGACAGTGGAAGAGTATATACTGTATTTCCAAAAATTATTTTCTCTTCTTATTCAGTATTGTTAAACTGCAGTCTCTGATGACAGGAAACTAAAATAAAATATTGGATGTGACATACTTTAGCCATGAAGGATGTGAGAAGTTGTGGGCAAATTATGGGCGCTGAGTGAAGAAGCGCTCATACTTGACCCTACTTGACAACTGCCACCCCCTGGGGGCGGCAGTTGCTGCGAATATAAATTTTCACAATTATTTTGATGTTTCTCATTCATTTCTTCTCTTTTTTGCTGTACTATTATTCAAAAGTGTGTAATTTGTGGAATTTATATACTGTAGTTTAATGTGTGGAACATCTCTGTTTTTCAAAATTATGGGGCTCATGTATGTGACATGTATATTATATTCTACGATTAATCAGACAGTGTTTTTGCTGTTATTACACTATATACACACATTGTACATACCTATCTACATGTTTGTGCACCATAATGAACCACAAAGATCATGTGTTGATAGAGTATATACACAGAACAAGAATCCAAGGTCAGCCTAGCGACCGAGAGCCGAGTGTGGCAGGGGCTGCCCCAAATAAGGGTACATTTTAACATAATTATTTCAGTGTCTGTGAATGGTTTATATCTAGTGTTTTGCATTAATATTTTTCAATAGTGTGTAATATATGGAATGTATATAGTTAAATGTGTGGAACTTCACTATTCTTAAAAATATGGAGCTCATATATGGTGACACACACATTATATTCTTGGATCAACCAAACAGTGTTCCTGTTGTTATTACACTATATATGCTTGTTATATATGACCAGGGGCATTAGGGTGAAAGAAACTCTGTCCATTTGTTTCCACCTCCACCTGGGATCGAACCCGGAACCTCAGGACTACGAATCCTGAGTGCTGTCCATTCAGCTGTCAGGCCCCTTATAACACTAACTCAAAATAATTTCAGTTACCTATTTTATTCATCATTACTAAGTGGTGCTTTGAACCCCCCCCCCCCCCCCACCCCCTAGCTGCACAGAGGTGCTGTGCAAGGCTCCTGCATGCACTAGCCATGGTTGCTCTCTTGGTACTAAGGCTCTCATAGCCAGCATGGATGCTGACAATTTTTTTCCAAGATGGCATCTGTTTACAGGAGTCCTGTGACACAGAAAGCGAGCCCTGTGTACCCACGGGGGTTTTGAATCGTTCCCTATACTGTACCTACAAACGCCTCATGGCGCTCTGCGCATCATCAATCTAGTTCCACAAGGCGCTCTGCGCAGTACAGTGGTTAAGAAAGAAAATGCTATAACCTCTCTTGCTCAGAATATTTAGGGCCAGAAGAAAACAGTTTCAGAAGGTGTAACAGAGGGAATACATGGTATTAGAACCAGCAAAGCAAACCATACACATGCCAGAATCATAGTAGCTACTAGTACACACAAAGCTATAAATATATGCAATGTGACACCACTGCAACAACCAGTACAGGGCAGGACAGGGAGTCAATATGCCCTTGCATAACCGACCTCCCTGAAACAACCCCCTTCTTTCCTTCTTTACCCCTGTCAAAATACATCAAATAGGATAACCTGCTTTATCTTTTCCAACATACAGGGACTAAAAATAAAAAAAACTGGCCTCCTCACAGAGGCAAATACAGTATTTGGAGCTTTCACAGAAACCCATGCAGGGAAAGTCATGGGCAATGAGATCTGGATACCAAAATACTGTATAATCTGTATAGATGTGATAATGTAAATAGGTTTCATGAAAAAAGTAGAGTTGTATATTAGATATATATGTATATTAGCCATATATGCTGCTTGGAGCTCCTTAACTCTACAAATGAGATGGTAGAAGTACTGGTAATAAAAATAGAGACAATTTACTGAATTATTATTCAAATATACAAACTGCTAGATGCAACATTTGGGAATTCACAGAATAAATTAATAAAATAGAGAACAGCCTCGATAATCTGGCAAACCCAATACCAGATATTATCTTTAGCAGCTTTTGTTTTGGTCTTACACACTTGTGTAAATCAACAGATGCCATCTCATAGGTGTTTATATTTATCATATTTTGCATGCTGAAATATTTTATGTCAGGAAGCAGCAGGTGTATGTATGCAGCTGTCAATCAATTTTATAGTTTAAAATTTGTACTGATGTATTTTAAATATTTTGCAGTTAATGCTGGATAGTTGGAATGCAAGCATTTTCAGCAACATTAAGCAGCGTTTGCAGGACTCGGCTATGAAATTAGTTCATGCTGAAAGAAATGGAGAAGCATTTGACTCGCAGTTAGTCATTGGTGTCAGAGAATCCTATGTTAATCTTTGTTCAAATTCTGGTGATAAATTACAAATTTATAGAGAAAATTTTGAAAAGGTGAGCTGTTTATTTACTTTTTCCTATTTAGCTAAATTTGTTATTTTCCCTTCATTTACACTTTTCAAAAAACTGTGGACTACGTAAAAGAATGAACTTATATTGGAATACACGTATTTCCACATTGCTATTGCATTTTTTATACAATAAGTTAAAAGGTTCAACTTTTGAAAGGGATTTCATTTAAAAATTATGGAATTATAACTGAGAATGCAAAATTGTCTATGAAATACTTGACAGTATAATTGTAGTTAAGAGACTTTTTTAAGTTGTTCCAAAGTATGAAAGTTATTATCTTTCAATGGATTTTGAATCTTCTTGGATTAGAGTGACTCATTCATAATTTGTAAACCAGTTACAAGTCTTCATTGATTTGAGTTTGGGAGATTTTCTACCAGAAGAGCTGAAGTTAAGTGAACATGAAGAGCTAATGGAATGGTGAAAAGTATACTAGCACTGTCTTGCTCACATGAAGGTCACTATTCCTTATTAAAATCAATCAATACAAAGGAAATCTGTACATCTGATTAGTTACCCTACCCTCATATAAGCCTGAGTCATTGGCATCCCACTGCAAAATTGCATCACTTTCTTTCATCGGCACCACTTCCATGGCTCTGTTTATAAGAAATAGATGAATTTCGAATCTGGCTCCCAGGTCGAGCTTGGGGAGTAAAAGAACTCCCGAAACCTTCTCCAGGTATGCTCCAGGTATGAATGATGAGAGTAAGGTAAACATGGACAAAATAATGAAGGAATTGTAATGTGAAACAACAGACTTAGTGTTACAGTATGTATGTATGTTGAAAAAATCACTCATAAAATATACTTTTTTTTCATTCCATTTTTGTATCAAAAAGTAAGCAAATTTACCAATTTGCAGTTTAAATTTATTTGATAATTGCTGTCTCATCCCACAGGCGTATATAGAAGCAACTAAAGCATTTTACCGGGTCAAAGCACCGCAGTACCTAGAGGCCAATGGTGTACAAAACTACATGAAATATGCAGAACTCAAGTTGAGAGAAGAAGAACAACGTGGAGAGAAGTACTTAGAATCATTTAGTGGATCATTACAGAATGTAAGTTGTCCCATGCTTTTAATGTTAATGAATTTTTATATTTGTTTAATCCTCTCAACTTGTGCTTGGGAAAACAATTGTAAGGCCTGACAGTATCTTACTTTGAGGTTACCTTCAGATGGTTTCAAGGATCAGTGTCCTTGCAGCTCAGTCTCTTACCAGACCTCCTGGTTGGTGGTCTGGTCAACCAGGCTGGTCAGTACCACAGCTCGCAGCTTGTTGAATGAATTGCAGACTGTTGATCAGGTATCCTTTGGAGGTGTTTATCAAGTTCTCATTTGAATACCATGAGAGGTTGGCCAGTTATGGCCATTATGTTTAAAGGGAGAGTATGCAATAACACGTTAAATATCCTTGCAGCTTAACAGGGGGAAAGTTCATGAAAGGAATTAGATGACTACAGACGTTGCTGGAAATCGTAATTTTCTCAAATTACAGGGAAATATGAGTATGAGTATGATGATATTGAACTGTAGGTATGATAGTTGAATGTGTGTGAGGTGATAGTAAAATATGGGTATAATCACGGTTAAATGTAGGTATAATGACAGTTAAATATGGGAATGGTGATTTAAGTGTGGATACTATAGTTAAGTAAGGGTGTGACAGTATACAGTTTGAAAATGACTATAAACTGATAAAATAAAATTAATGAGGGTGATAAATTCCAAACAAGGAAATTGAATGTCAAGAGGTATAAACAGAGAAAAGAGCATTCAAAAAAGAAATACTGCATCTTAATTTAGTAAGATAAAAAATAACTATTCTTGACTGGCTTCACTATGGGGCATTTTTGTTTACCCGACTAAAATTGATTTTACTTCCATAAGATCAATCTCTTATCTCAATCAATATAATCAATAAGATAGTTATCCAGATATTTGTTATGGTCTGTAAGCGTACTACGGTTCCAGTAAGTCTACTTGTAACCTGGTGACTGAACCTTTGTCTTAAAAAGAGATTATTCTCAAGTTATCACATTATTGTATTATAAATCATGGGTTTAAAATATAAACAGTGTATGCTGAAAACGTTTTTTTTCAAATGGTCTGAAAAATTTGGTTTTCTGTAAATGAAATTCAAGGGTACACTTATATTGTTTTTGTATTCCATATTTCACATTTTGGGCAGTATTATACAGAATTAATGTAGCCAAATGTAATGAAACCTAAACTAACCAAACTTTAACCTGAAGTAACCTTTACCTAACCATGGATAGAGAGCAGATAATAGCACTGATTATGTAGTCATTCTCAATCCATTACCATAGGTGGATTTCTCCCTGAAGAAAGGTTGTGCACTTGATACATATACTGTATTGCTGTTTACCTTTGTTCATTGATGTCTGGTAGCAGTTTGCTTGGTGGTAAACATCGTTGTACTCTACACTGTATAGTACTTTACTGTCGGTGTGTAACTAATTGAGTACTGTACAGGTATAGTCCTTGAAAGCTTATTTTAGCTTTGAATTATTCTCCAAAAGCATTGCATATTATGTATGACTTATTTAATACTTCATTGCCAAAGTATTTGAAAATTATCTAATCTCAAATTAGTTAATGCTGTATCTGTTTAATGAATAATTATTTGACATATTTTACTGACATTTTAAACTCTTTCTCAATTTATTGTTCCTTATTCAAGGTTACAAACTAAGAAAAGAATATGCTTGGTAAAGAAAGAACATTGTTTTCAGCAGGAATACATATAAAGTGAAGGATATTGAAGAAAAAGAAATAAGAAATGGCATAAGTAGAAATGAAATAGAATGTTAAAGAATATGAGAGCAGATTACAAGGAACCGTCAGTTTGGGAGAGGATAACAGCATCGCCTCGGGTGACTGCTGCTAACCAGTCTACTGGTGGACTTTGGCATGGTATAGATATATTCCTGAAAAAATCCGTACAAATAAAAAGTACAGAAACCCGATTTAAATCAGACTGCAATGAATGTCAAATATTTTTTTATGATTTTGAACACAAATGACTGGAGTTCATATTTTTTTTTAGGTAGTGTTACATTACATAAATATGCAGTTGTAGCTGTTGGCAAATTTTTGATTGTAAGGGTGGGATATAAGCCAAAGATAAAATAATAAGATGACGACTTGCATAAACACAAAAAACGACATCTCGTATTAGTGAGGATTTTCCACATACTATGTAACATTTGATCTCATGTTTTTTTAACTTTATGTGTTTCAGTTAAACGAATGTTGTGTTGAAGTGTTAGTTACGACCTTCCGTGATACCATCTTGGCCGAGTGTTCGCAGATGATCAAGAACAATGAGACAGACAGTTAGTATCTTCAAGATATGTGTGTGTGTGATATTTAGCTCTAAGATGCTCTTGGATAACTAGAATGTACAGTTTTGAACTCGGAGCAAAGTTCATGGTAGTAGACTTGTAGTCAAGTGAGAGATCTCTTAGATTGTTCCCAAGAGTGTTATTTTATTTCAGCAAATAAGGAATTTTCTTGGGTTACAATGACATAACAGGCTGTATTCATAATTTGTAAACCAATTACAAGTTTACCTTAATTTGTTTGGATGAGATCTTTCTACCACAAGAGCTCCTCATCCTGGATCGACAGTAAGTGCCAGAGAAAAAATTATAAAAAGTATAATAGAGATAAAATACTCTCATGTATTTACCATATACAGTATCTTGGCAGATAAGACAACAATTGACTCATCAAAAAAAAAAACCCTCCAAAACAAGGGGTAATCTAATAAAAATAGGGGCATTAAAATACCACTAACCTCAGAATCCGATACAGTCTTTCGTGAAGATGAGTCATCGAAGGTTGCTGGGGTCTTCAGTCTTGAAAACAGCTGTTGTAATGTACAAAGATTTTATTTTGCACTTAAATCCATAACCAATGTGATGTTAAACTAATACTGTAAAAGCATTGTAAAATAAATAAAAGCATCGGAGGCATTTAAAATCCTTGATAATCAATAGCTTCATATCTGAGGTGAAGAACTCGCCAAGCACATCTTGAGTCTCACTTTACACTGTTGTCATAGGGTCAAAGTCTGAATCCGGTGAGTCAGTTTTGGTTTTGTTGTCAGTGTCCCACAATAAATCGTCCTCAATGCCATCTACTGCATTAGTTACCTGGTTGATGGGGTTCTGGGAGTTCTTCTACTCCCCAAGCCCGGCCCAAGGCCAGACTTGACTTGTGAGAGTTTGGTCCATCAGGCTGTTGCTAGGAGCGGCCCGCAGGCCCACATACCCACCACAGTCTGGTTGGTCCGGCACTCCTTGAAGGAAACAATCTAGTTTCTTCTTGAAGATGTCCACGGTTGTTCCTGTAATATTTCTGATGCTTGCTGGTAGGACGTTGAACAACTATGGGCCTCTGATGTTCATACAGTGTTCTCTGATTGTGCCCATGGTACCTCTGCTCTTCAGTTATACTGCAATGAATATGCAGTCATACTGCATTTTTTAAAAGATTTTATTACAGTCACTACTTTCACTTTATTCGATGAATTGATTACAAACTCACACAGCACATTAAGTGATGGAGCTCTCATACATGTTTTGCTCATGTTTCCGATATTTGACAATAGGAACTGGTATGTACTGTATTGTACTGTATCACCATCTCAGTTGTTTGGTGCTCGCCAACCTAAACTCAACCACAGATGGTTATGGTATTTTGGGGTCGTCTCTTATATCACTGATTTGACCTAAAACCATGAAACTCGGAATGAAATTTGGCTGTTATCTTATCTGAAAGTCGCCTTATCTGCCGAGATGTACAGTAATAAATAATGAACTAAAGTATTTTTATCCAGATCTCTATCTTCGAAGTAAGTATAGTACTGTACCCCTTTATAGCAGTACAGGGGACCAGATTCACAAAAGCACTTACGCAAGCACTTATGAACGTGTACATCTTTCCTCAACCTTTGACGGCTTTGATTACATTTATTAAACAGTTTACAAGCATGAAAACTTCCCATTCAACTGTTGTTATTGTTATAAACAGCCTCTTGGTGCTTCGGAGCTCATTAAGTGTTTAATAATTGGAAACAAAGCCACCAAAAATTGAGAAAAGATGTACAGGTTCGTAAGTGTTTGCGTAAGTGCTTTCGTGAATCTGGCCCCAGTACTATAAAAACTAAATGTAGTTACAGAATGAGAGCTACACCTATGGTGTCCCATATTCCTAGTTCTTTTTGTTATATGGTGCTTTAAAACTGCTGATGGTTTTGCATCCATTGCTTTCTCACTTAACTTGTTCCACCATTTAGAAGTCTGTTCTACAAGAGAACTTTCTTACCAGGTATATTTTTGGACACCTTTATTTCTTTAGCTTGAATCTGTGACCCCCTTATTCTTGACATTTCAAGTTTAAAAAATTCTTCCATGCTTATTGTGTTGAGGAATAATCTTACCAAAGCGTAGGAATAATCAAGCTCACCTTGTACTAAGTTCCTTTCAAAAGTCAGTATTAAGACTAGTTTACTGAAAATCTCATTCCTCACGAACTCGCTTTGGAACTGTTTGTTTAGTATCTCGCACATTTCCTTTTCAGTATCCGTGAGCCTGTTTCCCATTTGTAATTTTAGGATTTTGTCTTTCACTTGGGTAATGCAATTTAGCTATTATTGGAGAACAATTTTTGCAGTTTTATAGAGTACATGGCAATGATTGATAGTAATCTGGAGTTTGGAGGCAAAAGAATTTTGCAGTACTGGTATGTGTTGACTAAAATGGACAATTTCTTAACTTCATTCACAGAATTGCAACTTATGTTCAAATTGATGGACCGTGTGCCGGATGGAATACAGCCCATGCTGGATGCACTAGAAGAGCATATTGTCTCGGCTGGCCTAGCAGACATGGTGGCTGCTGCTGACACTATAACTCAAGTGAGCTTTATATTTTATTTGTCTTCATATCTTGGCTACCTTCTTAACCCTCAGAGCTCCTTTTCTTTATCTATCTATCTCTATCTTGCATGTCACATGGATCATCAATTTCATCTTTATCTTGGATGTATGACTGACATGAAGTAACACTTCCTTTAAAATGGTGACTTTATTTATAATTGCCCTGACATCTTGATTGCTTAAAAGTGACTAAAATCACCTGAATGTGCAGTGCTTGACATGATGGGGGACGAGCGGACAGCACGCTGGACTTGTGATCCTGTGGTTCGATCCCAGGCGCCGGCGAGAAACAATGGGCAGAGTTTCTTTCACCCTATGCCCCTGTTACCTAGCAGTAAAATTGGTACCTGGGTGTTAGTCAGCTGTCACGGGCTGCTTCCTGGGGGTGGAGGCCTGGTCGAGGACTGGGCCGCGGGGACACTAAAGCCCCGAAATCATCTCAAGATCTCAAGAAGATGGTGTGGCACTGCATTAAGGAAGCAGCTGCCACTTAATGACATTGAGAAGAGTGGGTGTAAAGAATGAAGGTTGCCTTAGTAAATATATGTGAGAGAGAATTGAAGGAAAGAATCATAAAGAGAAAGATATAGAAGGAAAACCAATTTAATTTGCAAAAGGTAGGAATGGAAAGAGTCATCATTCGGTGATGGAATTTCTTCTACTTGTGCAGCAATGATCCCATGGGCAAGCAATGCCAAATTTGTGTGTTTAATATGCTATATTTGTGATAGAAAGATACTGTAAATACAAGCAAAGAATATAGCAACAACAACAATGTATTTTAGTTCATTACTAGCAAGTACCATAGAAGCAGATTTATAAACTAACTAGTTTATTTTCAAAATAAAATATATGAATTTCTTAAAAGAATACAAGATGAGTAAGTTGTGTAGAAAAACATCAAGAGAATAGATGTTAAAAGTAGATGATCTTTTGCTCCACGGGCTTTATCAAATCTCACCGACACAAGCACACACAACTAATACTTATAAAGGGGGAAACTGAGGAAGGGTGAGGTTAGTGAGGTGAAATTGAGAGATTATGTATTATCATTTACATTTATGAAATATTCTTTTAACAAGAGGGGAGGCAATGTAGAATTTTTCCTTCAATCTGTGTGATAGTGTTGTTGTTTATTATAACTGGAGACTCGGTACGATGCCTCCTAATATTGTTTTTTTTCTTTGATGATAAGTTTGGCTAAAGTTGGCCACCCTCATATTCATGATGCTTGCCACTGTGGAGGACAAGGTCGACGAAAGCTTAGCCGAGATACAAGTCCAGAGCAGGTGATAATATTTGTGGCTCAGGGACCATCTGAGGGACTAACTCAAAAAAGAAATGTTTCACTACACTCAACATAATGTTTTTATACTCACTTTGTGTTTTTATATTCAAGTGACTGACAGCTGTTTTCCCTTATGTATAACATAAACAAATCAGTACATAAAATTCATTGGCAAATATTTTGGTTGCTCCTTCAAAAAATGTTCATATTTAAAATTTTTGGATTTGTCCTGGCAAGACTGGATGGAAGGGCTCTCATCCTCAAGATTATTGAGTTCTCAGAGAAAACTAGACATCATAGATATGATGTGTAAATTTACTATATATTCTCTTAATATATTGGTACTCATATTCTACATTGAGGAATATGAGCACCTCAGGTAAATACAAAATAATTTTTGAATGGGTATAGGTACATGTCATATTTTTTTATAGACAAGTATTATGAAATTGTTGATATATTTTGCAACTTTGATGTATTGTGCAAAATAATACATAAAATAAAGATTAAAGCATTAGTACTCTCCTAAGAAAAGAGTTTCATAGAATACAATGTTATTTTAGGGAATGACAACTAAAGGGAAGTGAAGTGACTAGATCTGAGTATGTGCAGTGTTACACATACACCAAGGTAGAAGCAATGCAACATCTTTATTATTATTTAATGTTTTCAGGACTCTGAACAGTATGTAGAAAAACTTCTAGACCTGTTTCAACGATTTAGTAAATTGGTAACGGAAGCATTTAACGAAGATCCACGGTTCCTTACGGCGAGAGACAAGGCCTATAAACAGGTTGTCAATGATACACAAGTCTTCAAATTAGAATTACCAAGTAAAACGGTACGTATGTATGTATGTGTATGTGTTACATGGTGTTTAGCTTGTCAATTTTAAACTATTTGTCTTGGACTAGAATTGGGTGAACAAATCCACAAGGGCCGTGATGAGGATTCGAACCTGCGCCCGAGAGTATCCCAGATGCTGCTTTATCGACTGAGCTATGACATGGAAAAGGAGTTGAAACCGAAGTTCTACTGAACTTACTGGATCCTGCAGCCTCTCCGAGGCACAAACCAGGGTTTTAAACAACTCACCCCATGCACTCGAGCTATGTCAATAGGCCGTTCTCCCTCTTCGCCCTTACTTCATTACACACAGAAATCACAATTGCGTGATGCATCAAAAGAACAAATCCACAAGGGCTGTGACGAGGATTCGAACTTTATGTACACATTTATCATCCTATAAAATAATGTTTATTCACTTACATGCATGTTGATAAGGGATGTAATACACAACATAAGCATGAGAAAATGTCAAAATGTAGTGACGTGTTACTGATTCATTAATGTGTAGTCTTTGAATATTGAATGACATGCTCAGTAGCATATATTTTTCTTAAATATGAAAATCTATTTGAAAATCTATAAGAGATAATGAATATCTCTTTTCTCATTCATACCTTAAATATGAATGTCGTGTCTGCTCTGACTATAACTCATTGATTTGGCATTAAGTATTAATCTGGTTTTGTGATGCTTTGAATAATGTTGAAGTTATAATTTCTGTGGTGAGCCCCTATGGCTCCCAGGAGCTATCAGGCTAATGTGTGATACATTAGAATGGGGCATTAGTTTATGGAGTTCAACCTACCGGGGACCATGAGCCAGAACTTGGCCCCCTCTGAGAGGTGAAGGGAGCAATGGCCCTGGAACTCCCCCCCCCCTCCCCCTGTGGTTGGGGTTTTTCTTTATCGGCCATCGACCAGGGTTTGGCACCCAGAAAGGTAGGCATAGCAAGGCATCTCTTCTCGACCTGTCTTTGACCTGAGTTGAAGAGGATGTGGAGGAATTGAGTGCTGGGCCTTTGTCTGGTGTGCTGTCCTTGGCTGTTGAAGCTGTTTGTGTCTATCCTGAAGGAGGAGGTGTCTCTGTTCTTTGCTTCTTGCCTTGTGTGCCATCAGGCTGCGCTTGCTCTCTCTTTGGAATCTGCTTGGACCGTTGCTCTTAGGTTTTCGTCGTCGTTTTGTCTGTTGCTGTTCCAGGGCTCGGTTCTCCCAGGTCTTCCGCAGGGTTAAGTCTAGCCAGCCTGCAGTCTATCCTCGTGCCCATGACGTTAGGAAGTTTGCTGCATTGGCTGCCATGTTTGGCAATATGTCCTGGGCTGATATTTGGGCACAGGGATTTTGGAGGTTGAACAGGGTCTTGGCCGCCCATTATTTTGTTAATGTTCCTGCTCCTGGGTGTTCCTGTTTTGCTTTCAGTCGCAGGTTGCAGCCAGTTGTCTTGACTTCACATTGAGGAGTATGTGGCGGCCGCTTCCCGGGTAAGTCCCTCTTTTCCTTTTCATTGGTCATGTAGCTCCAGGGAGCCATATGGGTTTCCCACAGAAAACCAGCGTGAATGTAATGAAACGTCATTTTCTGGGTGAGCCCAGAGGCTCCCTGGTAACTCTTCCGTTCTGACTGACTGGAGGGAGGAAAATTAAAGAAATTATGCTAAAATTTCTTATTTCTGATCTTTTTATTTCCGTTAAGGTTTTTACACTTTTCCAAAGTACTGTTGAGTCTGGAATGCAGTATAAGAGGACAAGTGCTATTTGTAATACTGTATCAAATATTTGTAATCCTTTTCCCCCGTTACTCTTGTAGTATCCCTAGGCCGATGCCTCCCTGACTCTTGAGATTGGCAAATTGGGTATTGGTGATGTCATTGTTAAATATATTAATACTGTTCATTTTCATGGTAGATAACACTTAATTTTTCAGTGCATTTTTTAAGATGTAAATTGTATATTACATGTTAAAAATGCAGTTGTATTGCCCAATCATGCTGTATAGTTTGGTAGAAGTTCTGAATAGTTAATGATAGTACTGTACTTGTTAGCATCACACATGACATTATAGGCATCAGTAATGATAAAGTTATAGTAACTATGCAGATGATACAACACTTTAAGTCTATTACAGGTTGCTTGAATATCACCTCACTGCATATCACTTACCCTAAGTGATCCATCTGATAAAGTACTGTACAGTAGTGACGCATTTCTGAAGCTGCACATTTCCCCACAGAAAGGAATTGGCAACAAGACCCAGCCTGAATCCAAGTGTCCAGAGCTACTGGCGAACTACTGTGATATGCTGCTCAGAAAGACTCCGCTCAGCAAAAAGCTCACCGCAGATGAGATTGAGAGCAAGTTAAAAGATGTGGTATGTATAGTAAAGTGTTTAGTAAGTGTTTTATAGTAATGCTCTTCAAAAAAAAAAATATTCAGGGAAAATTAAACGGCACTAATTCGGGAAATTTAAATCAGGTGGCAGCACTAAATTAAATGCTGTATAGTGATGCTGCCAGGTGATTGTAATTTCTACAAATAACTTATTATTTTTTTAACCTTATCAAATAACATAATAGGAAATACAGAGGACCACTTGTTTTGAGAATCCCTCATGGATGAGACCCGTCATTTACCGTGTGAGTTCATAAACGAGAAAGATGGGAACAAAAGTAAACGAGAAATTTAGAAAGAAATCTAGGGTTGGGTTGACTGAAGTAGAGATTAATGGTGATAAGGTAACATCAGATGTTGATGCATTTTATTCTATAGTTGCTGGTGCTAAAGTATGTGAGCAACAAGGATGTCTTCATGCGGTACCATAAGGCTCATCTTACTCGTCGCCTCATTCTGGACACCTCTGCAGACTCGGAGAAGGAGGAAAATATGGTGGAATGGTAAGTACAATGAATATACAGTACTGTTAGTGGATGGGTTGTTGAGTGGTAGCAAGTAGCAATCTAGTTGACTTTTCTTCGTCCATGGATGTAATACAGTGGAGAATAAGTAATGGTAATATCTTCTCAGAGACAAAATAATATAGGATAAAAACACACACTTGTCTATTTGAAATTTCTGTAAAGAATTATGCCAAGTCTTTTGCACTCTCCTGAGTGCTTTGTCAAGGTCTGAGTATGGGGTTAGGATGAGACTTACATCTCAATGACTGAACATCTCAGCTACCCGTTGAGTAAGTCTCATCCTAACCACATACTCAGACCTTGACAAAGCACTCAGGAGAGTGCGAAAGACTTGGTGTAATTCGTTACATAAATGTCACAAATACATAAGTGTGGGTTTTTAACCATACGGTGGAGAACATCATGGCCATACCCTCTCTTCCATTGATGGTTCTTTTCAATTAGTATAATTTAGGTACGGTTAAAAATGGAAGATGATTGGAGGGAAGTAGAGAAGATGCTACAGTAGAAGCATTTAGGTCACTTGGAACAACTGGTATATGTACCTGGAAATTAGATAAACTATTAAGGTTGTACTATTTCTTACACACTATAGGCTACGAGAGGTTGGCATGCCTGCAGACTATGTCAACAAGCTGGCAAGAATGTTTCAAGATATCAAAGTATCAGAAGATCTCAATCAACAGTTCAAGGAGACTATTAGAACGACTACCAAGTCTAGTGTAGCAGGTAAGAGCTTTTGCAGCTACTGAATTTTGGTAAACTTAAGTATTTTTGTAAGTCACACTCCCTGGAAGTGTTTCAGTGGTAACACATGCTTATGCTTTTGTGTATGTTCCATATTTTTAATTACTGCTTTTCTGAGAGGAGCCCCTCCGGTTCCCTCGAGCTATCGAACTGATATGCGATATATTAGTCTTAGGCATCAGTCAATTGGAGTTCAGCCTACCGGGGACCATGAGCCAGTACTTGGCCCCCTCCCCTCAGAGAGGCAAAGGGAGCAATGGCCTATGGAAATCCCCTTGTACTTGGGGGTATTCCGTGTCTGCCATCGACTGGTGTTAGCACCCAGAAAAGTAGGCATAACAAAACAGACCTAACATGGTAAGAAAATTGAAACCGGAGACCGAACAGAGAGGTAGAACTTCCCCAACCTAAAAGAAGCAAACGTCACACCCCGCCACCACTCCTCTTGTCTGCGCAGTCCTTACCTTTCCGAGACGGGGAATGGGGTAGCCCTGGACCCCCCACACCTTTGCCTCTCATGAGGGGGCCAGGTTCTGGCTTGTGGTCCCCGGTAGACTGAACTCTAATTGACTGATTCCCCCAGACTAATATATCACATATCACTCCGATAGCTTCAGGGAGCCTCCGGGGCTCTCCCAGAAAATGGCGTTTCATTACATTCAACTCTTTTTAGGAGAGTTCCTCCTTTTTGACTAGTACTGTATTTAAACTTTTATATTATTGCTTATTTTGCTAAATTAAGCATTTTAAAAATAGTTATCATTCTCTTATTAATGTCAGTATTAAAACTGTATAGTCTTTTACTGGACCTCATCATTGCATGCTGAGATCTGACAACCTGTTAATATTAATTAGTATTTAAAGATGTCTTCTCACTACTTGATTCTTAATATTATTAGATTTACTATGGAAAGAAAAATTGCTGGAATTATCCCTTGAAAGCTGTGGAAAGCTAACAGAAAGGACCTATTAATGGAATGGTACTGGAATGCCCACAGTGGATGTTTACAAGATATTAAATCCTAACTCAACTGAATTTTACAAGTAAAGTTTAATTGCTAAAATATTTTAACATTTTGATGTTAAGACAGTGACAGCAATGACAGCCCCTTTCAAAGCTGCTTAGGTCACTAAGCACCAAAATCACTTCAAGGTAACCTCAAGGTAAGATGTGAGATGTGCTTTATTGTATAGGAAATCTAACACACATTGTGCATATACAGTTATGCCAGGTTTTGCTATTTATTTTTGCAGATAATTTGAATATAAAAATATTAAATGCGGGAGCATGGGCAAGAGGAAGTGATCGAGTAGCAGTAAGCTTACCCATGGAGCTGGAGGACTTCATCCCTGAGGTTGAAGACTTCTACCGCAAGAAGCACTCGGGTCGCAAACTTCAATGGCATCATCACATGTCCAATGGCACAGTAAGTGTTCACTTCCCAAGGGTTTTCTTAAAAGTTTGTAACTACAATATTTAGGCACTCGTCTGCATTCAATTTAGTATTTTTCTTGTATATTACAGTAGTTCTGGCAAACACCGGTCCATAGTATTAATGTTTGTTGAGTACAGGTGCACTGGTCAATAACTCTTGTTGAAAAAATATATGTTGGAGTGATGTTGCTCTGAATGTGAATAGTTTTGTACAAATACTGTTGCACTGTTCTACCAGCTTGGGGCTGGATGTGGTTGCACGTGTCTCATTATTTGGAGATAGAGATGTATCTTCCCAACCATGAAAAATACATGTTCACTAAATAATGTAAACTAAAGACATCACAACATTGTACGCAATGAATGAAAGTGCATTACAATATACCGGTACTAACCAAGGGTATAGATGTTCCTTTTCATATGAACTTGGAATGAAGCCTAGATGAGCAAGGTGGTGGTAATTGAGGGAGGAGGTGGAAGTTGAGGCTTGAAGCAGAGATGGTATGTGTCCAGCATTACATGAGGGTGGAACACCAGGCTCTTCTATTAAAGCTCCCAGAGCAGTTTTCTCAAAAGTTTCTAAGTGTTAATTGTGCAAATTTCTCTTAATTCTTGAAAAAACTATAAAATCTCAATGTATTCTGAGTACTGAGGTTGTAATTTTTCTCTGTAATCTTAATAATTGCTTCAAAATACTGTACAGTACTTGTTTATCTCTTGTGTGCATTATTTTGGAATATAGATCACTTCCTTTGATATTACTCATTTTGAATGACATGTCTTCCTTTTGTTGCATTCAGTGCCAGTGACCTTGATGTTGTGGCATTAGTGAGGTCTCTGTTAATCAATCAGTCAATCGTCTGCAAAGGAGTCGGTCGGCCGAGCGGACAGCACGCTGGACTTGTGATCCTGTGGTCCTGGGTTTGATCCCAGGCGCCGGCGAGAAACAATGGGCAGAGTTTCTTTCACCCTATGCCCCTGTTACCTACCTAGCAGTAAAATAGGTACCTGGGTGTTAGTCAGCTGTCACGGGCTGCTTCCTGGGGGTGGAGGCCTGGTCAAGGACCGGGCCGCGGGGATGCTAAAGCCCCGAAATCATCTCAAGATAACCTCCTCTGAGTCCTGGGAATTATTCTGTGTGTTTGGTCACCATATCAATACAGTAATATCACCATCAGCTTAGTGCATTAGGGATATAATTTTCTCACTCGATATTGTCTGTAATCAAATATTTTCCTTGTTCTTGCAATGTTATTTCCTTAAGTAAGACAAGGAGTTTTGATACTAATTTTTATTTTTTACTGATTTTCTTTCACAAAAACCCTGAAAGTCAGCAAGGAGAGAAACCAGCTTTGGGCCAAATATTGTTCCAGCCATGCTTGAAGGTTGATTGATCATTTCCTCATGCATATGCAATATTCATAGGGTTGACCTTTTATATGAGGTTTTCATACATTTCTTTATGTTGACCTTCTTCATATAGATATCTGGCAAACTCATTTCTTTAGTGGAGTTCAAGGTTAAAATTCATTCTTTATCCATGAGTTAGACTAAGGAAACTGTGTAGAGTGATAAGAATGTAGTAACCCTACTGTCCTTAACTACTGGTAGCTCATCTTCATGTGAATGTGATGAGCAGTTACCAAGAAATTAGACCATTTTGCTGTTCTCAGTCAAGCCAGCACCATTAACGTAGTTCTTCCTATGGTTCAAATAAGCTCTTAAGTAATACGCGCTAAGCTCATTTTCTTTTTCTAAGAAGACTTTTTCTAATCATAAGCAGTTTCCTTTTTATGAGTGTCAGTTGCATTGGCACATTAGAGCACAGTGAGCCTCTCTTTACATTGATTTGTACCCTAAAACACCACCACTTTCACCCTTGTGAATGTGTGTTTTGTGATGATGTTCATGAACTATAACTGATAACATTAATCACTTTTTAAACTAGATTGTGGCAGTATTGAATTGGGTTATTATTTCAGTAACTATAGTAATATATTTCCATAGATATGTTGAATTGAACATGTTTTTTTTTTTTTTTTATTCTTGATACTCATCCCTGAACAGATAACATTTTCGAACAACATGGGAAGATTTGACCTGGATGTCACAACGTTCCAAATGGCTGTTATGTTCGCATGGAATCAACGGACACATGACAAGATTTCTTTTGACAACCTTCGGCTTGCGACCGAGTTGCCAGATCCTGAATTGCGACGGACACTATGGGTAGATTGCCTATTTTGATAATACCTTGATGTCAGTCTCTGCATCCCCTCATTAATAATGAAATATAATATTACACTTTAAATTTCCTTTATGTCATAGAAGGAACAGGAAATAGAGCTAATGGTAATATGGAAATATAGTAGAGTAACATGAATTATGGAAATTATACATAATTTAGTGAGTGGATTGTGTAAAGTCAAGGTCTAAAAAGTTTGAATTATTTTTGTCTTTACTTTTCATACAGTATTAGTAACATGGTATATGTTGAATAAGGAAACAATAAAAATAACATTATATAAAAAGAAACATGAACAACTGAAGTTGTATTAGAAAAAAAGATTTTTGCTGAAGTGTTGAAGAAATTAACCAGTAAAGTTAACTAAAAAAATTAATGTCATAGTGACATAACCAGATACGGGAAAATTAGAATTGTTTAAGTAGGATAATATAATGGTTAAATCTTGATAATATTGAAATACTGGTAATATTACACTTTGGTATCAAACAATGACCAGTATTGGGAAGAGAATGCTGGAACACAACATTTATTATTCAAATGATTTATTTCACTATTTGTTCCATAATCATTTAGCTAATCTTTCATGGAGGAATAATTGGCTCTGCCTAAGATCTTGATACAGTAGAGTATTATAACATTTGAACACAAGACTAGCTAAGGAAACTGTGGAAACCAAATTTTAATGAAAATTTAAGTTTATTTATTTATATATATATTTTATTTTTTTGCATGGGACAGTTTGATATTGGACTGACAACCTAAGTGTTGTTGGTGTAGTGGGCTATGTAAAAGTCTTAAATTAGGTCCTTATTTTGTATATATTTATTGTATTTATGGATTTAATTCTTATTTTTCTGTATTTCCTCCCTCCAGTCTTTGGTAGCATTTCCCAAAATGAAGCGTCAAGTTCTCAGTATGTCTGGGGAGGTGACCTCACCAAAAGAATTCACAGAAAACACACTCTTCTGGGTTAACCAGGAATTTGCCCCTATGTGAGTATATCTCCAGCTTTTATCATCACCATTAACATAAAATTTATTCAAGATATATTAGGCACTGTTGTACCTAAACCATTCAATCTTATATAATGATGTCTCACACCGTTCTTTACAAGTTTCACTTCTGTACCTACACTCACCTTTGGTCTCGGGCATTTTATGAGTGAATTTTTACTGTACTTAGCTCATTAAGAAAGATGTCAGTTCTCTTATGCTAAATGGTTAACTAGGAATGATTTGAATTATTTTATGTAGTTTATCCAAGCGATTGCTGATTTTGAAGAGTGTTTTACTATGTACTGATTGTGATCTTGTTCCAATAGTAAAAATGGGAAGCCTCAGAAACGGGGGAAAGTTAACCTCATTGGGCGACTGCAACTTAGTACAGAGAAGAGTAAAGAGGAGGACAACGAGGGCATCGTGCAGTTGAGAATACTTCGCACCCAGGTCAGTACTGTTACTTCCATCTTCACTTGTATTACAAAGGGAAACAAAAAGATAAAAAAGTTTGAGGGGGCATTAATACAGTAATGTGAAATATATAGTTGTCGAATTTGTGGAAAGGTATTTTCTCAGGAAGCTGGTTTGTTGCTGTGAAAGGTATAGTGATCTACTTTATTCCTAAGGATCAGCAGAGTCAGGCAGGAATAATTATGGCATAGATACCACAGGGACTATGACAACCCTGCAGGATTATTTCAAATCCTTAAGAGCCATTAGAGATATCAATCCAGCCAGAATAACATATACTCGGGTGAATTCCAATGACAACTAATGTGACAGTCATTGGCAGGCTTCTTCTTATCCTAATGACCATTTACAAGAAATCCCTTCTTCATGTCAACAAAAGTTGGCAATACCCCTATGACACAGGACCTGCTCACTCCAATGATAACACAGGGCCTCGTAGCTGAGTGGACAGCGCTCGGGGGCCACAGTCCTAAGGGCCCGGGTTTGATTCCCTGCTGAGGTAGAAACAAATGGGCAGAGTTTCTTTCACCATGATGCAGTAAATGAAGTTCACCTAGCAGTAAATAGGTGCCTGGGAGTTAAACAGCTGGGGATGAGTGTGTGAGTCTGTGTGCGTGTGTTTGAGAGAAATATATGTAGTAACCATAATAGAGGAAAAATATATTGGTTACAAAGGCAGGGTCCAAGAGCTAATAGCTTGATTCTGCAGGCACAAATAGTAAATACAATCCTGGCTTATGGAGGAACATATAATCACAGGAAAACTTAAATGTGCAGCAGGATGGGACAGTGCAAGAGTGGCACAATATTTACAGAAAAAAAATTAATATAAGCTCAGAGCCTGTTTTTGAGTTAAGGTTGCATAGTGTTTCCAGTTTGGCACCTTCTTTTGATAATTGTCTACTTATGAGTTAAAGCATGGGTTTTGCTGCCCCCCAGAGAGATATGACAGCCGACAAGGATCACAGTACACTTGGGGGTGTGGCATGAACATGTAAAATAAACAATTAAGAGCTGTATAAATGGACTATCCAAGATGTAGTGTTAGGAAGATAATCAACAATGAGTCAAGGAAAGATGTATAGTACAAAAGTTTGTAAAGTGTAAGACTGAGAAGAGTTTATTGAGATGGTTTGGACATATAAAGACAATGGATGATGTATTTGAGTAAATTTGAAGGTAGAAGGAAGGGAGAAAAGTCAAAGATAATGGATGGACACTGTGAGTGTGTAAGGAAGTGAGAGTTGAATGTGAACAGCATTTGAAAAGTGATAAGGAATAAGGCTAGATAAAATTGATTTAATAGTGTAAATATTTGATATTTTTGTAAATGGCATCTCAGAAAGAATTTTACACCTTTATATGTGGAGTTGAGTATGATGGTGCTGGGTCTACATGATGATGATGCAGTATGTTTTGTGGAAGATAGAGCAAATGGATGGGGCTATTTGATATATAATTATATTTTTCTTTCCCTATTTGTTCTCTTATTTCTTTTGCACTCATGCCTCTCCACTCAATGAAGTGGGAAAAGAGTAGTGATGATGATGATAATTTTCATAGTATAATGTAAAATGAAGTGTATATGATGTATTAAAAACTGATATAATGTATTAAGTGTTTAATTTGTATATAAATGGCCTTAGTTGAATGAGCTTACATTATAAATGTGCTGTTATGTCAATCACAAATATACTTGTTGATCCACAGGAGGCAATAGTGAAGATACTGAAAATGAGGAAGAGGATCTCTAATGCACAGCTGCAGACAGAGCTGGTGGAGATGCTCAAAAACATGTTCCTACCTAGTAAGAAACTAATTAAGGAGCAACTTGAATGGCTCATTGAACACAAGTACATGAAACGTGATGATGATAATATCAACATATTCATATACATGGCTTAGCCGGAAAATAATAGTAATAAGAAGCCATATCAGAGGAAAACCGTCTACGAGTGCAACCTCCCGGCACATCTTGCAGCTGTACATATATCCGAGTCTCTTGTGGCCAAGTGGTTGTTGCAATGGCTGCTGCCTGCTTACTGTCTGGTGGCTGTTACTGTATAAATAATAGTTTATTAAGAGTCTTCATCCTTCTTGGCCAGATAGTTAAATATTTGTTTCTTCTATCAAGCAAGCAGCAAGTCGTGGGGTTCGTGAGTATTGTGTGGCTTGTACAGGCATGGGCTGACAGTCGAGACAGTAACACGAGCCAAGTTCAGGAGTGCTGCCGTTTGCTCGACTAGTAACAGATCAACATTTAAAAGGAATACAATGAATATTTACCAAAATATTTTGTTAATGTTTTATTGCCATGAATTTCCCAGTTCAGGCATTCTAAGACCAGATAGCTAAACAACTTTATTTCTGTTTTCCACACAAAAGTATAGGATTTCCAAACCTATCTAACTCAAATATAAGCTTGGAAACGTCCTACTTTAAGATGCTCTGATAGTCAAGATGAGTTAAGTACTTGTTATTCTGCCAGATTAACTGAGCCTTGAAACTGTTAGATATGAGAGATAATATCAGTTCGTGTTATCATGAGATACAGTTTGTTTGAAGAAAAGAGATTTTCCTTGGAGATGCAGGTTTATCAGTCAGTTTTAGTACTTACTACTTTTAATAATTAACTGAATTGTTATATTTATTTAATTATTACAATTCACATGACTTGAAGTCTCTTCGGCTGAGGTTCATGAAGCATGTGAATGAACCAGGGCAAAGGTATGGGACAAAAGCTCAATCAAAATGGCAGCCGACTTCATTGTGATTGCCAGCTCTGCATACACATGACTATTGAGCCCTCACTTGTGCTTGCAGCATTCTGCAGGTCCTCAGGTAGCTCAGAGATTAATACAGTGTGTGGCTAACTTGTGATACAAATACATATATATTCTGTAAATAAAGTAAATCTTAATATTAAAGGTAGTATTTCCGAGCTGGGTTGTATTGTTTTTACTGTGAAGATCCTAGTTGTTGCTTTTTTGTAATTTGCAAAATAATACTTTTTATAGTATCCTTTTTTTGTTTTTTATCAAGGCAATGTGCTGAATTGCTATTGAAACTAAATTATAATGAAAGCCAAAAAAGTGCATGGTGAATGTATTAAATACCTGTATGAAATAACATGACGTATAAGGTATTAAGACCAACTCTCCAGACAGAGAGACTCACTCTACCCTGCCTCACTGTTCAAGAACCCATGTTAATAGGTTTATCTTGTCTCATGCCAGACGTTACAAGTCATTCTTCTCATGAATTTATCATTTTTGTGTATAATGAAGATGGTGTATATAGCAAGTGCAAAATAAAAACGTGCTGGTGGTACAGCGTGCTGTAGCAGTGGCGAGATGGTGATTAATGGTTTGTGGATTACTAGCTTGCATTTATTGCCAGTGTTTGTGTTTCCTGGGCAAGCATTATGATGTAAACACTGGTCTTCATCTAGTGCCTCACGCATGCTTTACAAATTCTTGTTAGATATACAGTATATAAAATATTCATTGATGTTTTAATGCCAAAAGCATTTTTATTTATATTACAAAATTTCATTGATAAATAGATTTAAATTATAATGCATAGTTACATGGATAAATGCTTGTCAAGAAGTTCCATTTTGACTTAATTGTTATTCTTGTATATAATTGACATATAAGAAGTTTAATTATGATATCTTTGTTAATGTAAAAATTTCAATTTACCTGTACAGATGTACCATCCATCAAACATTTCCCAAAGCATTTAAACCTATTTTAAAATTTCTCATGCTTTAAAAATTTGCATTCTGCCAAATTGTTTAAGTGTTTGCCTTGATTAGACAAGCTTCCTAAGACAAAGATGAAAAATGCAAACTAGCCAAGTAGTAGCCATTGTCATATCACCATGAAAATCGCCTTATATGTGTCCTTGGCACACTCATAATGTACATATTATTATGATAAAATATTACTAATCTATAATAATGTCACCTGTCCAGAAAGGCAAAATATTATGAAAATCATAGTAATTTTTACTGGTATGTTATGTGACATGTTGAACAACCAGGATGGGGCAGCATCGTGTGTCCCTGTGTGGTCTCCATACACACCCTTGTTTTGTCTCCTCATTGTGAATTATCATCTTGTATCAAGTTACACTTTGTTGAGGTCACAGATGTAGATTGATCGTGTATGGTATGGTAGAGTAGAAGTGTTATTTTCATTGGAGTGTGACTGAACATGTTTTGTTTTATGCAGAAGTCTTGATATGCTAGTCTTTTTGATGATAATGAACTAATTATACCTCAAGTAGTTTTGATAAGACAATACCTATTTTGAAAGCTGAATGACATTCTTTATTTAGATTTTACTTAGCTGCTCTGGCACTTTTGCATCAGCTTGTGATGAACAATACAGTGCCCAATGCAGTACCCTCGAAACAGACACAACATATGGTACATGGGCTTCTTTTGAATCAAGTCTTATGAAGATCAAATCTCACTTGTTACAGTAAGTAAAACTCAAGATTGTCACTTGTGTGCTTGTCATCCTAAGTTATAGATAAAACTAGTTTCATGTTTAGGTTGGAAATTCTACAATTAATAGAACACTGAATACCATCAGTTACCCACTAAAGTACTAACGTGGAGTTTAGTGAATGCCAGTATTTCAATTATTACTTCTTTTTCTGGGGGGAACTCCTACGGCTCCCCGAAGCTATCCATGGCTGATATGGATACCCCTAACTATTTTGTATCAGTCGATGTGGGGTGGAGTTCTAGGCCTACCGGGGACCACGAGTCAGAACCTGGCCCCCCTCACAGAGGCACAAGGAGCAATGGTCCATAGAAATACGCATGTGATTTGGAGATGGCAGATATAGAATGCTCCAAATCACATGTGCATTTCTATGGGCCATTGCTCCTCATGCCAATGTGAGGGGGGGGCCAGGTTCTGGCTCGTGGTCCCTGGTAGGCCTAGTACTTCACCCACATCGACTGATGCAAAATAGTTAGGCTATTAGCCATGGATAGCTCCGGGGAACCTCCGGGACTTACCCAGAAAATGACATTTCATTACATTCAACGCTGGTTTTTTTGTCCTCGGCTTCATTTGATAGTTAATGGTGTCCGCATTAATATTATAACTACGTGTTTTGCTTTTTCTTTAACTGCCTTTCTGTGCATTTCATCTTCCAAGTCATGTAGAGGACCTGTACTGTCTACTACAAATTCATCCTTTTTTTATTTTTTGTTTAGTTGCTACCCTATAATTTGTTATCTGCAATTATTGGAATGATAGATTGCTGGAATTTATTCCCATGGCAGAACAGAAACATATAGGTACCTTGTTTTTTACCTGATGCCATTGTTCACCTCGCAGTAAATAAGTACCTGGGAGTTAGTCAACTGTTCTTGGTTGTGTCGTGTTGTAAATAGTTGGCCTAAGGGAACCTCGATAAGCCTAATAGGATTCCGGTCCCTGACACTATGAAATCAAAGGTGATCTATTCCCATCACGGTCTTTCTAACCTCACCAAAATAAGAAATGAATTTAGCCTGATTATGCATCAGCCACATGAGGCTAACTCGTGGGCGCTTAATGTACTAGAAACCTGCCCCTTATTGCATTGTTCTGCTAAAGTCATACATATATCTGAATGTTCAGATTTTCAGGATAATCAGAGATTGTGCTTCTCATCTGTATCTTTACAATGTGAGAGGCTAGAGGTATTAAATATGCCAAGGCTAGAAGATAGAAGAAAAAGAGGCAATATGATCACTATAGTACGTTCAAAATAGTAACAGGAATCAACAAAATTGATAAAGAAAAATTCTTGAAACCTGAAACTTCAAGAGCATGGTCATAGACTCCAGCTGTGCAGACAAAGCTGCCAAAAAAGTTCTAAATTCCATTTTTGCAAACAATGATAGATGATTGAAACAAGATAAATGAGAGAGGGTTGTAGAGGCCAAAACAGTCAGTAGTTGCAAAGAACTAGGAAGATGGGACACCATGAGCATAGCTCTCATCTTGTAACTACACTTACGTAATTACTAAATGGCCTGATAAAATTCTTAGTGAATCAGACTCCAACAACATAGATAAACTTATCTTTTTTTTTCCATACTGACATCAACAATAACTACACTTTTGAATCCTCTGTACCTTGTGTAGTGCTATATGTTAATATTGTACTAGCTTGGCACACTTCATAATTACTGTACTTATTTCCATTCACATTCAGTATGAGTGCTGAGGTGTCACAATTCATATTTGTAAATGCGTGCAGAAATAACCCCCTCAAAATTTCTTAATGACAGCAGTTTTAATAACCAAATGTTCCCATTTTTATTATAATTCAAAGGTTAGATTTTTTTACAAGGCTTCTGAAAAACAAGGTGCAGTATAAATAATTAAAAGCACAGCATCTTATTAAAACAAAATTTGGTTTTCATTTGAATTAAAAAACATTTTTAGATTTGCAGACGAAGTCACAATAACGCGACTTAAAAATGTTGACCAAACCACACACTAGAAATTAAAAAGACAACATTTCGGCCCGTCCTGGACCATTATCAAGTCAATTGTGATGAGACGAGGGAGGCAAGGGGGCAGTAAGTAGGCAAGAGAGAGGTGAGGAGATGGAAAACTTAGAGGAAGATAAGAGCAAGGCAAAAGGTATGGAAGGTAAGGGTGTGATACTAGGAATAAAAAAGGGATTGTAAGAGAAAGATAAAAGGAAGGGTAGGCTTAAGTTAGGTCACTTTTGTTAGAAAGTTTAAAACATTTGAGTATACAGTAATCTTAGAAAGGGAAGAGTTGCTTTTGACTTCCCTTTTTCAGATTATACTCAAATGTTCTAAACTTTCTAACAAATGTGACCTAACATAAGCCTACCCTTCCTTTTATCTTTCTTTTTCTTCATCTTGTTTTCTCTTATGATCTCTTTCTTATTCCTATTATTAC